TCCTCAGACCTTGGGTAGCTGCTTTTAGTCTCATTGTTCTCCAATCGACCTGCCTGGCATGATAGAACCTTCAGGAACATATATTCCAGCCAGTATAGCTCGTTTGGGTAATGACGATAGGCAAGCCCGACCACCACGTCAAGATAACAGCTACGGTCGGGCCTCCGTGTGGCTTGTGGGAACTTGTTGGTTGCAGGTCAGATAATGTCGATGATCCACTGCAACTTTGCACATACTATAACCTGGTTCTGGCTAGCACTAAGTATCGACACAGTCACCACCGACTTGCTACCTGGTGTCCTTCTTCTGCATCTCAAACCCAAGTTGATCGCGACCAGCCGCTGTGTGGTTGTATACAAGACTGCTGCTTCTTTTGGAATACTTATCTAGACTCTGACCATGCTGTTGTTTGTGCTAATCTGATCTTACGTTTTTGGTAGCCAACAAGTCCATTGTTGTAGATGGATTGATGACAGTAACTTGGTTGCAGCTTCCGTTAAAACTAAATATCAAACCGAGCTAGTTTCAAGGTTAGCTATCGACCATCCAAAAAGTATAGATGAGGACTGGTTGAAATTTACCGATATCTTGGATGATGGACAGTCCCTCGAAAAACATTCCAACTGATCTACTGTCCCGGTGACCGATCAAACTGCCCTGTCCTCTATGGCTGGTGATGCTTGATGCGCTTAACGAGTCGGAAGTCCACAAGGAACTCCAACACTTGAGACGCCGCAAATCACCAGGCTCAGATGACGTACTTCCAACTTTTTTCATATGGTGGTGACCTGACTACGAGACTGGTTTGTTTACTAACTGACAGCAGTTAGGGAGTTTCAATATCCTGGGATGAGTCAATTGTTGATCTTACCTTCAAAAAGAGTTCTCACCACCTATGCAACAATTGTCGGGAGATAAGTCTACTACCTAGTGCATCCAAATTATTGACCCCCGCCATATTTCGCACATTGTTCAAAACATGTAAAAGATTGACTCGCGAGGAGCAGACTGGTTTTTTCTTCTGGTTGAGGATGTATAGATTAAACCTTCACCATCCGCCAAATATTAGATCACTGTCATACTTCAGGCCAACAATCGTTGTTTTTTGACATCAGGATCGTCTTCCATTCGTCGGACAAGACTGTTCTCAGAGAATGTCTATAAAAGAAGGGTGTGTCTGAAAGTGTTTAACGTCTTGAAGACCTTATGTACCTACGCTTCACGGAGAGTGAGGGTAAACAAGTACTTCTGTTCATTGTTTTATTCAGGCGGTGGGACTAGGCAGGGTTATCCAATTTCATCATTTCTCGTCAAATTTGCCATGATGTTCTGGGAACAGATCTGATGGATGTGGATGATGGTAGTATAGATCTGATAACGAAGGAAACTTTTCAACCTTGAGTATGCAGATGCTTTGTGTTACTGTGCGATGATACTCAAGCCATGCAATCCGTACTTAATCAGTTAGCAATCATTATCCGTAGGTATGGCATGTGCTTTTCACTTGCTGAGTGCAAAGTACTTTCACAGCACTAGTACGACCCTAAACTTGTATTCCCTCTTGGTGGTGAACAAATAGAAGTAGTCAAAAAAGTTCATATATATGGGTAGCTAAGTACCAGTGGTGGAATGAATGATGAGATCAATTCATGTATAGTGAAACCCAGAGCGACTTATCCTGGTCTGGGCCATTTTTGATGCATTTGAGATGTTAGCTTAGATATGAAAGATCGTGTCTACGATGCGTCTGTAAGAGCGGTCTTGACCCATGTTTGTGAAAACTAGTCTTTCCGAGTTGAAGATGTCAGAAGGCTTTGGGTGTCCGACCACTGTTGTCTCCGAAGGATTGTTGACATTCAAAGGGGAACAACATGTTAGCAATACAGAGATTCGGTAATTTGTTCGGGCAACGTAGCAATAATCGAATTAGTCTCCATCTCGAAATACCCACTTCAGTGGCTTGGACATGTACAACGAATGTCATTCGAGTGAATTCCAAATCATGCGTTATTTGCTGCGTCTACTTTAAGCTGATTATTGCCATAAAATATTGAAATCATGCAGTTCAGAGCAAACGAAGTAGTGAATTACCTCACATTACTCAATAAGTGCAGCAACACGCGTATTAAACAGGAGAAACGATTAATCGTAGTATCATTCAACAACGATAAAATTTTGTGAGGCTCCAGACAAACAGTACACAATACATCACTCCATACAAACCGACAACTAATTTCGTTCATACTACGATACAACAGTAGGCTGGTTTTATGAGAATTTCTGTAATTTGAAAACAGTCAGTTATAATCAAAGTAGAGTCTGGATCAAACACGTCAGTTCACGTTGTTATCTCAGACGAGCACAACAAGATGGAATTAACAAGACTGCAGTCAGTTGTAGTCATAAGACACCTATGTGCACCTATCCATGTTGTTGCACTACAGCGCTCTGAAATGTCATATTAGTATAATTAGTAACACTACTAATGGTAGTAGAAAAGACTATATGCAGGAGACATATGAAGAGAAAGTATGGACTAGCGGAAACTTAGAAAGTGGAGGTTGATAAAGCGTATACGTACCTCAGAATTTCTTACTCGGTGGACCAAACACACAATCAATTAATTTGAAAGTCTGAGGTCGAATACAATTAACCAACTGACAACATTTTGTGAAGGGCATGTTTCACAGTTATAAAGTGAAACAGATAAAAATGCCATTCAGTATACTATTTCTTTGGTTGGTATACGAACATCTCACCTACTCTTCAAGTGGCAAAAGTCAACCAGGTTTTTTTGAACCTATGACCCACTAGGGCTGACGAGACTTCTAAGATAAGCAGTGATCAATAGGTATATCTTCGCTCCCTAATCTTCTCCATTGCTGTTAATAATTCTACTATCGCTCTCAGTCTTGGATTTGAACTGACAGTTACGTCTCTGTGCTGACGTGGTGTGGCAACCTGAACTGATGTACTTATGTACGAAGTTCTGCGTTATATCTGTCTGTCTGTCTGTCTGATCAATAGGTATGACTACCTCTTTCCATTACTAGTTTGAACGCTTACGCACACTAGTCCTGAAGCAATATTTTGCGTTTGCAGGAAGCGAATAGCATCCAACATAACCTTGGATTGTCGCTAAAGATGAATGCCGAAGGATTCAGATTAATATTATTCCTGACGGAGAAAGTCTAAACATAGTGTAATACAGAAATGGAATGAGCTTGAATATAAAATGTAAATATTGAAGCCTGAGACTATAGGGAAGAAAAGGTATGCATTTAGTTGGTTAAAAGTCATTATACAGTACGTCTCCAACCATTTATCTTGCAGAGCCCAACTTGTTAACCTGAACTAGCTAACATCGTTTATTTCAATAAAAAATGAAAACACGGACCAATCCTACAACTTAGATTGGTCACAAATAGCTTTCTTTTGACATAGTCCTGCTCCACCCATGGTTTTATGTTAAAATAGGTGGTTGATTGGTGCGCGTGATACGTTTCTTGGACATTAAAAAATGAATATTCACACACTTATGAGCCAGCTTGTCGTATTTAACTAATACGTTACCAGAACAATACATTACGAACTAGTATTGTTCGCACGGTTGTTCCACAACAAAATAAAGATCCAAGTTAAACTTATGGAATTAAAAAGCCTTGTCACCCAAAGTTCAACACAAAGTCTAATTCAAACAGTGCAAGATTAAATGCAAGCTGTTCTGAATCACAAACATACAGCACATTGCACAAATAAGAAGTTTAGAAATATTTTCACGACCAAAGTGAAAATTGATTAGATCTAATTCATTGTGAGAGATTATGGTACACAGCTTAATGGCGCAATAAGTTGTATAAAAGTAGCGATCGAAATGACAGGATTTTCAGACATTTTCACTTCTTCTAAATCAGTTCCAAACTGGTGAACGAACGCTACTACAAAACACTCATATGGCAAGTCTCTTAATTTATTTTGTGGGCCGTATTAATTATCTACCTTACTGTTTTCTGTGTAACCTGTCTCACATAAGTATTTTACGAATACGACAAATATGGCTGAGGAATGAACAAAAACAGAATGGCTTACAGCTGAGAATAATACTCGGTTATTTTGACACACTAAAATGTTTATCATAAGAAGGTCTATGTCAACCCTAAACAAAACGAAATGGTCTTATGTGAGTAAGTTTGATCTCACTTACACAGGTGCTGCAACCTAGAACATAACTTTGTCTATGCAAGAGTAAAACGGAGAATATGAGTGATCTATACCATAATAACTGAATATAAATATTGGATTCATGACAGGAAAACGTGGGTAAGGACGAAATACTAGGCAATAAGTAAAGCACTGAAAATCGACTTCTTGTGATTGTTTGGGAGTCTATATTGGATTGTTACGCTCTGCAGCAAGCCTTACAATCGTGCATTTGCCCAAGTGGTCAAGGGTCTACAATAAATGCGCATCGTAATATGGACGATCAAACCTTTCAAAACGTACACAAAATAGTTTTACAGTTGATCGAATTTTACTTTAATAACCTTTCGAAACTGTAACGACCTTGATCTTATGTGAATAGACACATCTAGTCGCATACAGGGTTGTGACTCTATTAAAGTTACGCAGTTTGCAGCTGTCTAGGATTATTCTGGACCACATAGGACCAAAGATTATCTAGCCCTAATGTACACCTTTCCAAGATTATAGTTAAAGTCGACCTGTAATTTGATAACTGGACTAACTTTTAGTGGATAGTCGCTTGATAACTGACGCATGAAAAAGTAATCCATGAATCGCCGAAAATTATAGTACCATTTGCTTCTTAATTAAGCCACTGTCGCAAAGATAACCATAAATGAATCCTAAGGTAAATTATATCAAAATCTGTGTTTTTCTTAGAAAATAATAAATTTTTTATTACACAAAATAAAGTTTTCCCTTAATGCATTGGCAATACGGAGAGATCGAAACGAACCATACAAAAAAATTTAACTTACTTTCTGCTGTGGAGGAGTATACACAGAGTTACAACCAGTTTTCTGTAAAGAACACACTAAAGAACTCACCAACCAACCAGGTGAATTCCGGACAGAATACAACCTTCCCGCAAATTAGAAGGCTCACAAAAACAAAGCTTGGGTCGTAGGTTAATTATACAAGAGCATTTTATTGTCTAACAATTTATTTTAACTCAGCTCTCACACAGCCTTACGCTGGAAGTATAGTTCAATTGTTAACCTAATGTGGTTTACTTTCTGAATAAGCTTCAATTTTTAGTAACGTTGCAGTCAGTTAGGTAATTCGCATAAATTTGTAATGGATCAGCTTTTATCAAGAGAACGCGACTGGTTCAACAGAAACATTCATTATTATAACCAATTGTACCAGTGATAGTTGAAATGTACTTTTTGTTTATAACACACTGTATGCACAAACCTTCTGTTTGTGTTGCTGTCATTATTGAACAACCATCTCCGTAATTTCACGCCTTTTTCCTGTCTCGATTTCGGTATTCTTACGATGCTACAAAATCGCCAACAAATATATTCTTAACCATTGAATAACCCTCGACTCGGTCGCCACTACAAATTGAAGTGTCAAATATCTCTGAGAAGACTGAGCTTTTTCAAGTGGATTCAATGTTAGGGTTCTTATCAATTGTTTGAGTAAGGGATTCCAGCCAATGACCAACCCAAGGGGAACAAAAATCAAAACCTAAATCTATTCGAACGCTGTTATCGAAATGTCTTGTCATGGCCTTGAAGACTACAGGAGTCAACATTTAGGGTGCAGAATCTTAAAGTTACATTACGTTTAATTCTGTCATACAGAATAACAATCTAAGTTACTCAGTTATACGTTAATAATTTGTTCAAATAAGTCACAAAGCGTCCACTGACACAGATCAACATCTTTACACTAACAGTGATTCATGAAAAAAAGAATGATCATGAAGATAACAATTTTACTATTGAGTTAAAGTGGTTGGATAAAATACGCCACTTTAGAAAGAGAAAAGTGTATCCAGACTGTCACTTTCACCATTCCAGACATCGATTACGTTTCGCTGTTTCAGCAATCAAGAGGACCAAATCGAAGTTGCTCAAGAGTGATCATAATCGAGGAATGACCTGTATATTAACGTCAGGTGTTGCAAAGCCCAACTTGAAGCTGTGAAAAGAAACTTAAAAAATACGAGTAAATTATAATTATGCCTAAGAGGCTCTCGATTAGCAACCTGTTCATGACACTTTGAACAAATCAACATCGGCTGAAACTGCCAATTAACGTACTTGTCTTGGCCAGTTTTAACAGAACTAATAAACTCCACTAAGTCATCACTTTTGTACATTTTCGGGAGATTTCGCCATAAAAATAACAACACAAAATGATGTAACAAACAGTAAAGTGGCTTTGAAGCAATGTAAATGATGGCCAAAAACATTTGTACCCAGTTCAAAATGAAGATTGTGGGTTAAACTGAAACCTAGAGTAAGATCCATTTTGAAGGCTTTGTGAAAATCCCACCATGCATATAGTTTTAATTCGTTCTTATTGATTCCTTTAGTTGTACATTTTGTTAGTCTTTTCAATCCCTATTGAAATGATAATATTTGTATTTTATTATAGTTTCTATTTCTTTTGCCTTCACTGAGTTTCTATGTTTCTTTCTGAAATGCATTTATGTTGTTTAAGCTGATACTTAGTCATGGCGACAGCCATATTGACTTGTTCCTCTTTTGATTGAGTTGCTTGCTTTGACTGGAACTTTGAATTTCGGTTTCTTCCAGAATTGGAAACACTCTGTGTTATAAAGCAACCAAATATTATATATTATTATTATTATATTATATATTTATTATATTTGATTTATCCAGGATGGATAGAATGTCATTTATCTGCTGTGGACTCGACTAATTGAATGATTGTTGGTGGAATAATTGAATGGTAATATTTGTTCAGGTATTGATGTTAATTTAAATTTATGATGAATATTAGAACCGTCATTAACCCAAATCATTTGTTTTAGTTTTTAAACTGGGAAGGGCGTTTATAAACTGCTTAGACAGTTAGTCCTCAGTCCAAACCTCAGTTTGGATCCTAAACCTAGATCTTCCTTTGATATCTCAAGCAGTTAAGTGACCGTTCAATCCGTGATACTCTATAAATTTATTATGTAAAACAGAATAGGAGATGGGGTGGTGGTATACATTAACAACCACCTTGAGGTAGCAATCTTGCGCTGGATAAGTCGCCAGAGCCCATATGGTGGAATTTTAGTGAGGACATCTATGAGCACTTGAACAGAACTATGGGTAAACTTTCACCTGGAGTGTAACGAGACGCAGCAAGGGATTTCAACATAACCTTTATGTATCTTACAGGATATGGTATATCCTGAGACAGATGATGTACCTGAATAAATGATTCTGTGAGTTTCACTTAATGCCGATAACTAAACACCATCATTAGAATGGGAAGGAATAGGCGGTCTTTCAAAAATAAGCCTTTCAGTGCACTTCAATTAGGTTAGAAACAGTCTTACCTATTTCAAGAAACAGTTATGAATCAGGAAACTCTTATCATTACTAGATCTCCGGACATGTACCCCACTATTCAAGAGGTCGCTAAAGTCCTCGGACAGCTAAATCAGCCATCGAACAAAGGAGTTTGGAGAAAGGTTATGCTTATTTTCCAGACTTTCACTCTGCATAAAACATGACACTAGACAATGCGTAATAAATGTCAAAACAAAACATTAACAGCAGTAAAAGTCTAGAACTAACAAATGATTTGGACTTATATCAAAGTAAATCTTAACCATACCAGTCTATCAAGATGGTAATCTGCTGATGTGAACACAACAAAAAATCGCCTTTCTAAAACAAGAGCTTACCGATTATAGGGGAAAATCTTCATTTCCTCGTAAGATAAGGAAGTCGGAAAATGGTTAAGAGAGTCTGGTCGAAACTTGTAGTACAAACTATGGGGAACAAGTCGACCATGGGTCAGTTTTACTTAAATAAGCAAGTTTTTCACCTTCCAGCAGAATGAAATAGGAAATGTGATGCTTCCAAAAAGTAACTCTCAACTTTGGCTAGGGTTTTTAAGTAAAATGAATCGTAACTAACAGATGAATCCTAGGCCTTCTCTTCGTTTCATTTGGGACTTGTTAGATAGATGTGTCGGCAGAATAGATAAAGATGTCAAAACCAGATATAATAGTAAAATATTTAGAGAAACTGACTACCGAGTCCAGAAAATCAATCATTTGTATAAAAGTTAAGAAGTGGACTCCATTTCTCAGGGTTTTGGATTTATCCCGTTCAAAATATTTTTGACAGACCTCTGGTCATTCCTGATTGGACTAAATTCTAAACTTAATTAGCCTCAACCAACTTAACAAAGAAATCGTGTCAGGGACCCATCTATGTGTCCATGTATAGACTTAGTATGATCGCCTACTATAAAGCAAACAGACAGGTGAGTCACCTTTTACTTTGTACATTCTCCATTTAGGAATATCTTTGTCTGCCATAATTACAATCTATTCTGTTGATGTCATGGAACGAATGCTGACTTACTCTAGTGACATCAGATAGTTTCAGGAGAATTATCTGAATGATATAATACTATCATCATGGAAGTCTAGATGTGTCAATGCATTCTTTTTTCTGTTATCCCCATTCCTCTTTTATTGTTGCCTTATCGTTCGTTGCAGACTCAGCTGATTATTTTGCTTGGACTCATAGCAATTTTAACTGGACAGGGCGCCAAAAAGTTCCGTGAACAACACATAACTTGACTAATGGTTTTCTCCGCAATATTCTGCCTATGTCACCTTTATCGAGTACGTGTGTCTCAGAGTTTATCAATTCCCTAGTTGTCGATCTCTAAACTATTATTGTTCGACTCTAATTAGTTATATAATTCTTCTGTTGTACTCGGTTCAACTGGTGATTGCGATCTCTTTTTTGACTGGGTAAAATTCTGAAAGCTTCCTGAAAATGATAACTGCGAGTATTTTTCACTTGCTCAATCTTCCGCAAGACTCTTACCTTTTTCCGATTGATTGTCGTTGCTGTTAGTCTGCTTAAGTTTATTTGCTTGTTGGACATGCCGTATTTATGATGTAAATGGAACTGTACAGCTTAGCCTTTTACCGCTTTCCCTTCCTCGAATGATAAAAGTTCCTAATATTAGTCTTTTTCTTGTGTTAGCATCGTGTTTTTATGTATTTTTAGTTTGTAATTTGTAACCAATCACAAAGAGGACAGATCGCACTTGAATAGCTAGGTAGTTTTTCGAAGTCTGCAAAAACTATAGATCTGTGCTGAAACTGATAAGGAAATACAACGAATTATGGCTGACAGGTATTTCGATCGCATTTTTAGGGAAAATTCCTGTTCATTATTAGATGCCCGATGGGTGCATTCATGAGACACCGCATGAAACCTAGTTTTATAGAAATGAAACGTTTGAACTCGTAGTATGTGAGCAGCACCGCTGATGTCTTTTTTAGCTCAACTGTTTATAATAGTAACACAAGAAACGACCATAAAATCCATGTCTTGATAGACTCGACTGACTGAAAGAATCTTCGTATGCCAAACAAAATAGTTCAGAAGTTCGATATAACCACATAAAGTTTGGTTTGCCGGATCATTTTCTGCCGTCATGAAAAATATCGCAACGGCCATAGGCTAAAAATCTACTTGGTGACGCGACATCAGCCAGACCATAGAGTCTAAATCCAACAATATTAAAAAGGCAAATGACACTGAAAGGTTATCTAAAAACCCATTTATATAGGATAAGAGAACGAAAACTTCAGACTAATTATAACCGAAATAGAAATAAAGAAAAATCTTACTGAGAGTAATTTCGGCTGGTGTACAAATTAAGTCAGACTATATTGAAGAGTTTTTATTAGTTTTTTACAAACAAGATCATTTACTTCTCAGCCAAACTGTAACCTGGAATAGATTTAAAGAATATTTGGGGTTTTACCAGCAGATTCGTATTATCAAATTGTTCCTCGAAGTAGTTGTATTCCATTTTGATGCATATTAGCTAGCCCAAAACTGAAACTTCAGAGCCGCGAGCGTATCAGTGCGCGCATACCTCGATAAATACTGATCGGAAACTACATAATGATAAAAGTTTAAAGTGTTTAAGCACTTACAGACTATAAACTTTTACCTACTGTTAGATATGGAATAAGGCACACCTTAATCTGCGTGTATTGCCGATAAGGTGTGAAGATATACCGAAGAGGCACTTTAGATACAAGCAAAATCAGGGGTACCTGAAGTTGCAGACACTTGACAGGACCGAATTATCTCAACGGAAAAAGTTATCCCAACCAGTCAAGGAATAATATTCAATTAAAATAAATAAACTGATTAATTCTACTTGCTCCAAAAACGAGTAGTTAACTAGAAAAATTTATAACAGTAGTTATTAGGTACTTATGAGCTAGCGGAATACAGTAGTTAAGACTGAAACATTCTATCTAAAGTGGGAATTTGAATAATTCATGTAGGTGTTATATCTCATCTTATGGTATTTTGATTATTGGAGGCTTTATTTGTTTCACTGCTAACCTACATGCTCCATTGTGCTGCTGAAAATGATCTTAACGTAGACCTACTACAACCACACTACTGGATCCATATATATATAGAGTATGAAAATTAAGCTTGCCCATTAATGACTTTTTCTTGCAACACAATGGTTTCCCTGTGAAACGAAACATACTGATAGATTAGGGCATATATTTATTATTTTTAATGCTCACTTCCTCTGTCATTAGTGTCGTCCCATCCATATACACCATATAATGCCCCACTCAATACGAAGTGAACAGCAGGAAAACTAATGAAATCAAAAACAGTCACTGTTATGGCCACGATACATGAAATTACCAAGAACATACAGAAATATGATATTGGAACCGGTTTCCAAGACTTTCTGGTGCAGACTTTTGATACCCAAGGTATTCACCCTTTCGACAATGAAGTTGCAACCATTCTGGATTACACAAAACGGAGCTAGCAGCTGCAGGCGCTTAACGGACTAGTAAAGTGTTAGGATATTCATCAAAAATCCTAAGTCGAATTCTATCGGTCAGTTCCTATTGGTCAATGTTTAAGGTCATCCTAAACTATCAAGTTCACATACTTTTCAGTGATGTTTCCTATCGGTTAGTATTCACGGTCGACCTAACTGTATAAATATGCATTATTTTCGAAGTTTTATGTTCCTTGTCTTCTGTACAAAACCTCATATTTTCTGGATGCTCGTAAAATACACTTCTACGCCATACTAAGACTTTTGATACCGTTAGCAGGGGTTTAAGACACTCCCATTAGAGTAGCCTAACGCGTCAAGGGGTCACCTGTCTTAGCTCTCGTGTAGTGATCAAGGTGAACTCGTAACAGTTACAAGCATTTCATAAGGTTTCATCGGATTTTCATGCCAAATGGCGTGTCTCCAGTGAATATCTAACTGACCAACAATTTGAAAAAGCTGAAGCCGTTGATTTGGACGGCACGAAGATCAATGCATTTTCCACAGTGGGAAATACATCTCTTGGTCACTCGCGCAGGTGCAATGAAAGATAATGATACTCCAGAAGATGTTATTCTCTTAAATCTGAGCAGAGCATCCTTAACGTTTCTAATATAGGTCTTAAATTAAAAATGGTAGGTTTTATAGTCCATAATGTAATCAGTAACTTGCTAAGTGACTTCCTCAGAGACAAGTCAAAATGGTTAAGGGTAGGTGTGAATTCATAAGCATGGGAATCAGACGCATCGACCTATATCCGTTGGTTTCGAGGTGATTTACTGTTGACTTATCGCATACTGAAAGATGATCCTGGCATTGCTATGTCTGAAATTTTCCTTTAGTCTGTAGTTGGTCATCTGAGGGGACATTCTAAGAGAGCTTAGAAACCGGAATCAAACCATAAAGTCTGCAGTCCCATTTCTCGCCGCCACTAGTAAAACAATGGAACTCTCCTCCAAAAAATCGAACGTCGGCACCTGTTGATGCATTCAAAGCGAGATTGGATATTCACAGCAATATGAATTGCAGCTGGCCTGTTATTCCTACTACAGGCTATGTGGAGAAAAGGGTGGTCGAGTTTGATTTATCTAATTATTTACTTAGTTCCGAAACCTTCTATTACCAACATTAGAATTTTCTCCTTATTAATTTCCAAATTGCAGATAACTTATTTCTGATCTGGTAATGTGATAGCTACTCGTATCCAGAAACCCTATTACCCAGAAACAATCGTTTTCATTCAAATCTCGGGACATACAAACTAAAAACAAACTGCCATCTAACTAAAACTAGACAATCAAATAGCTTGACCCCCATACATCGGACACTACCGAATACCTGGAACCCTACCGAAAGAACAAGAATCGAGCACAGTGAAATCAATTGGTTTATACTAGCTCGTGAAAAATATATTGGATATTGGAGGCTAGCTTACTACGGTTGTTTCGAATTCTTGCGCCACCAGCTCTCCGGTGCTAAACCTTTCGCTATCATTAATTGTTATTATATTGCTATCCTTTTTAAAATGTAAGTGCAATTTGTGTGTTTTCGGTGGACCTTCCCTACAGTTTCCTTCAACTAATTCTCCCCTCTAACGCTAACACGTGCTTCCCCAATACACCTGATGACTAGGTGTCTGTATCACATATTGTAATCACTTGAGTCAGTGGCTTTAAGTATCATCAGTTGATTTACGACGATTCTTGCATAGTGTTGTCGAGGTAAATAACTGCAATAGGTTTAATATCTGATCATTAGTGATATTTAGTAGCCCAGCTATTAGCATACCACCAGCAATTGGAACTGGGTTTTAAGAGTAAGTGGTGTCTGTTTCCAAGAGTTATTTTAAAATTTACCATTTAATGGTAATAGTATGTTTCCTGATAATAGTATTTACAGCTAGCACAGGATCTATGAAAAATCTGTCAACTTACAAGCTTGTTGTCTAGCAAGACGAAACGGGTGACTATGCATAATCGGTTACTACGGCGTGGATGTCTTCACGTTTGTTTTTGATTTTGTTATATGAATTAGCCATACTATGTATGACAACTTTTTTAAGTTTACTAATGCTTCTACTGCTTTTGTATTAAAAATTGGTGTAGTATAAACGTTTGGGCAGTTATATAGTCATCTTGATTGTTCTGTGTAGGATTTCGTATAATTTAATAAAGATTCTAAATTTGCCTAATTTTAATCGATTCGTTATATCTCATCACTTTCTCATGAGAATAAATGTGTATGCACTTTCTATACTTCTGCGTAGATTATCAATTGGGTTCTGAAAATTATCAATGGATAAGTTAGAAAGTTGGAAAAGATCTCACGAGACTCCAACTGAATGGCGCGTGAGGCGATCGTTTTTGGAAAAAAATTTCAATAAATTAAGCCCTGAACGTTTGGAGTGCCTTTCACATTGTTTTACTAATGCTAAGTTGTACAAAGTTACATATCCAGCAAAAGTCATGGAAGAGGTATTCTTACAAAATTTTGTTTTTAACTTGTTCGAAATTGTTTCAATTAGATCAACGTTCTTGGGGAAGGAATTGAAGAAGCCAGTACTTGAGAACATAAATTATTCTAGTTCATAAATCAATATTTTCATAATTTATTCTTATGCCAAGTCCATGCAAACATGTTTTTCTACCACTCTGACCCAATATCTCTGAAGTCAATTAAGTTTCAGAATGCGAGCTTCTTGACCTTATTCTGCGAAAGATATGACGGTAGTCCTCGCTTCTCACTTGGCCACCATATGGTCGCACATTTCCTCTTTGAGGACCTGAAATACACTAGAAGTTGTAATCCTGATAACTGAAAAGCCTGACCGCACAGCACGAGGGACTGCTATTCGGATAAAGTAACACAGGCTCTATGTGTGCAGTTTTAGTAGTTAACTTCACACGTTGAGAGCGCTTACCACCCGAAACTGAAATCCGTGTTGGATAAAGTATGTTGATTTCAAGGTTGTTTTCTAATCCGTCCTAAGACCGAGGTATTTAACCATATGCTGGTCGTCTAAGGGAAAATTTACTGTGGTCATGCCAGTATTCGATCGGCAGTACACCCGTTCTCGGACTACGTCCGCTTCTTTTAGTCGTACCACTCTTCAAATGACCTATTTTAGAGAAATGTGTTCCAGCTTATATAGATCGACCGGGTCAATGTATTATAACGCTTGCTTAAATAATTCCCAGCTAATCCCTATTGCTTAGTATTCTCTGACCACAATACACTGGACAAGTTCCGAAGAATCAAAACACGGTGGAACAGGAAAAAGATTATATTCCAAATAGCAAGGTTAAATGGAAATAAGAAGGCGAAGGCAAAATAGATACAACGTTAGATTCTGTATAGTATTTTCATGAGAAGTTTCTGGATTGAAGTGCACGCGATCGACTGGATTAGATTTAGTCAATCAGCGTGCGGCTAACAACACGAGAATTTTCTACCCTGTTCTTCAAGAATCGATCAGGCGCTGATTAGATAGGAAATTAGCCAATCAAGCGCGCAGTTATGCTTTGATCCATCTATGTCCCACTAAAGCAGTGCCATGCGAAAGCCCTGTCACCACGTCGGCATGACAGTTGCGATGTAGAATCACTACCAACTGAAATGCTTAGGACATGTATTTTGTATGCATGGGCAAAGCCTACCTTACCGAGCGGCACTAAATGTCTCAGAAGCAAGTTGAAAGGTATAACCGTTCTAACCACAACGTGAGGTCACTGGTTTCCACTCTAAGCCGCGTTTGTAGATGCAAGCAGCCTAGCTGAAGGCTACCTGATAACCGCAACCAGTTGTTCCAGGTTATCCACAATGGTACATATGCTCCTGTACCCTCGTCTTCCCAATAGTGATTTTCAGCCTTCCTACATACTTATCTATCTATCCTGTTCTTTAAACCGTATTCCTGATATTAGGTCTTCCTTATTACCATTTTAACCACATGTTTTTTTGTTCCTCTCAAGCTGATTGAACTTGGCAATATAGACCGAGAACATTTGTGCTACGCTATATGTTGATGATATCTACTTGTCAAAAACCCAGTTTATGTGGAGCATATTGCTGGCTGAAAATCAGAAAAGATGTGTGAGGCTTTTATAAAAGTATCAGATACAGCTATGTAGTGTAGTTTAGTCAAAAATCTTATCCATATATCAGGAATCGGTATTTGCGATCACCAAGTATACTTACATAAATAACACATTCAATGCTCTTCGTCATTCTTGACCATTCCCGAAAATCTTATTTTCTTCGACTGTAACTGACCATCTGCTGCACACAACTTATTATTAGAAAGATTTTCATAGTTACACTGCTGCAGATGCCTTTATTTCAATATTATTGTTTACATTGTGACAACCGTATTGACAGGTCCCACGTAATTACACTGTATTAAATATTAGTCTTCTAGGATTGATTAACTTGGGAATTGTTTCCATATGTAAGTGCCTATCAGGTTACTTCAATCGGAGTGAGCTATAAACTACTAGCTACTTTAGGATCCGATTGAACGAGAATTATCACAAAAAATCGAGCAGTTATTCAATAAAGCCATTTAGTAGACTTCACAACAAACAGTCGATTCGTTGAGACTGGAAATTGCTGTGTTACTTATCTGGTCTAATTATGAACTCTTACCTAATCGCTATCGTTTTTGAAGGGAAATGTCTAGGCTTATGAATATATTTTTTAAAGAGTTAATGAAATCAGTCAGAGTAGATCAATTCGCATTGTATCTTTAGGCTTGTTCATTCAATTTTAATCTAACTGGTGTGGTAAAGTCATCAATTCATACTGTATAACACTCATCAATATCAGCTTTTTAAGACAAAAGAAATAGTAGTTCATTGCTTCGATTTTCAAACGTCTAGATTTATCAGTTCGTATTCATGCCAAAATGGATTTTCGTTTCAACGTTGACGTGAGTACGCATCATCAGGAATGTTCATATTTTCAGCAATTGTAATGAATGTTACTATACTGCTTCTTTTGTTGTCGATCTTCAGAAACACAGTATACTATCATGACCGTGATATAACCTAGTTCAGGCTTACATAATAGGTCAGTTTAATTTGGTTGCCATCTAGCGTAGACCTTAAACGCACCTAAACCTCAGAAAACAGGGAAAGTATGCGGCCATGCACAATATAAGACTCCAAATGCCCTGGTATGATCGAGAGTTAGGAAAGCTTGCTTTCCTACCGCCACGTCAGTCTTACTCACTGCCTTCTCGTGGCAGGTGAGTTTCCTGCGAAATTGAGAGGTTGAACAGTGAGTATCCGATGCCCTAAGTTGGTGAGTATGGAGTACTCACCTGCGATAGTAAACCATGGTTTCAAACTGTCTCTTACTGGCTACAATGGAACTGACGTCGCCGCAATGCCTTGTGGACTAGGCCTGTATGTCAATTTCGGAAAGTTGCTCTCTAAGAAGACTGCCTGTTTCAGGGCACCCGAGCAGTATCTCAAAAATATATAAATTCAATACATTATGCAGCGCGTAAATATTCAGGTGCTTCTGTACCGACGTTCCAAATAAAAATGTATATCTACTTAACTATAATAGATCTCCAAATATCTTCAAAAACAAAAGAAAATGTAAAACTCGAAGGGAAGAAAATAAGGAGGAAAATACAGTGAAAAGAACGAGGTGTAACAGGAAAGAATAAACTCTGAAAGAACAAAGAAAATATGAATAAGTAACAAAAATAAATCTCTGAGAGGGTTATAAGAAAGAGAAGAAAATCATTTAAATCTAATGTTGACATAAGATAATACATTCTGTTTCATGTATGCTGTACAATTGGTATTCTTCTTCGCTTATCTAAATTTATTAAATCATATCATCGAGAGTAACTGTAGTAGATAAAAATGTCGAGGAATGCCTATACGAATGATTTTCGTCATTTAGAGGAACATCTTGGTTAATATCAATGCTATTTGTTTTTCCGACTACTTTTTCAAAAATGTATGTCCATGGAGCAATAGCAGATGATTCATTGGAAGAATCTTCATAATTTATAAAATTATTCACCGCATAATCATATTGTTCAGATATGGTTTCTGACAGCTAAAAGAAAAATAATTGTTTAAGATACAGTTCATGTTATACACCATAAATAATCGTCATGTTAAAGAAATCGCTTATTAAATAGCTGACTGAATTTTACTACTTTACAACAGAGCCTCTACAAATAACAGTAAGTTTAGTCAGTGATTCAAATGTTGATAATCTGATAGTCAGTCAGTCACAACGCAGAACTTCGTACATCAATCAGTTCAGGTTGCCATACCACATTAGCACAGAGACGCAACTGTCTGTTCAAATCTCATAGTGGTAGAGATAGTAGAAGTATTAGCAGTAATCGGAGAGATTAGGGTTCGAAGATACTATTCAGGAATAGAATTTCAGACGACAAATGTGGATACACCTACTCCATTGTGAACAATTTTAAGCCTGGCAGAAAAACATCAAACTATAGTTACGATCAACATACATCAATATGGTATTAACTTTTGCCTTCTAGAAATCACTTATTGTAGAATACTTTTAATGTTCAGGGGATCGGAGCATTCTGAAATCCTTGGATCTATGGTTCATGTGCTGCGATAATTGTGTATAAAAACAATATGTTTCATAATCTGTCTACAAGGAAACATACTGCGGTAGAAATTAAATGGTAGTGAATTTAATTTTTGTCAATATTAGCGATAATAATGAACAGAACAGATGAAATCAAGATATAGTGTATTTACGGAGACACACTAAGTATTAACTTACTTCTAATTCTTGAAACAATTCCGCCTGTGACATATCTACAATAGATTTCCATGAGGAATAACTACACAACTCTTTGGAAGCCATCTCATCGTTATTCACTTTGTTGGATCTCAAAGGATTTGGTACTAAATCGAAATAATTTTCCCTGACTTCCTTTTCTTCTTCAATGAAACCGTCGATTTGAGCTTCATAGTTTAGAACAGATAAACGTCTACTTTCTGTAATTTTTACCAATTCATAAAAACTAATTTGACAACTTTCATGTAGATTACAGTCGTTTTCTATCATATCATTATCATTTTCATGGTAATTGAGAATAGTATTTTCAGATGACAAGTTCACAGTTGAATAAGCAACCTCAGACATATCATCAATATGTACATTGGTGGGATTAGTAAAGCAATGAAGAAAGTTGGTTTCATCAACATTTTGATGGTGTGCTGCTATATGTAAGGCATCAAGAAATACCTCAGTGATTAGTGAAGTATCTATTGGGTCTAAACTGTCCGCGTTTGTAGGAAAAACCATTGACGATGATTGCAATGCAGTAGGACTAGTTCTATTATTATTAGTCTGAAGTAATGAATAAATAATTGGTAAAGTAGTATTTAATGCTTCTCTAACTGTTATTTTGTTTACATAGTAATCACAAGAATAATCAGTCTGTAGCAAACCCTGTTCAATAAGATCATTTGGAGACAAGTATCTGTAAATATAAATAAAAAGCAAAAATTACTAAGAGTATAATTTGGATAATAAAATAACGACTATGGTCAGAATCGAAAAGTGGCTTTCTAGGGAAATCATCTGCCTCAGTTTGGGCATTTGGATAGTATCCCAGTCCACTCATAAATTCAATAATTTGTGTGGCTCATAACTAATTGAGTGAAGTCTTTACCGATCTTTACGTGTAAAAATGAATAAAACTATATGTGGTTAGAAATGATATACAAATGATTTCGTAAATGGGAATCAATATGCCAGAAAAGCAGCGTTTACAATAAAAAAAAACTAGTTAAGTCACTGACATTAATCCTAAACGCACTAATTTAAATAATGACCGCAAATAAGTTCATTATTCATATTGAATAGTAAACATTACTACAAGTTATTTCCCGTGTGCCCAGGTAATGTTGACAAAGAGTAAAGCGATAAGGACCTCACCAGCACTACAAAGTTAGTTGCATAGCAAGTGAAGTAAGTGGTCAACACGCTCAACTACTTCACTCCATATCACTAGTTCACGCAAGCCGATCGTGAAGCAACGTTTTGCATCTAGAGTGTGAGAATCGCAGCCAGAACATACTTGCATTGTGACCATCCTTTCCCGAGATAGTGTCGCTAACAGATGGATTTCTAATACCAGTGTCCTTGATATGTTGGAACAGCTGTCTACTGTTATATATTGTCGTTGACTTTCCCATGTCTTATGCTTTCACTACCAACAACCGTTCTAGATCACCGCGTGTCCTTTTTATCAGCCTGTGTCTAAGCTGATTCCGTTCTTCATCGCACTCATAGCCAGGCGGTATGGATGTAGGATTTAATTTGTCCTACAGATGTAATTCTAGAACGGTAAACGCAATATTGGCGAGCACAGAGTCTATGGGAAAGCTATAGTCAGAACAAGATCAACTTTTGCTTTAAACTTTATCTGTTTCGACCAATATAGCTTGTCTTATGGAAATGAACAAAACTGAGTCACATCAATAGTAACGTCCTTCAATTAGTGGGTCATTTACAAGAAAGTTTACAGACACGTCAAATCAGATCACGTGGTGGGCGCTTAAACCGCAATTTGATTGGTTAGTCATGACATAACTACAATTAGTTAGGAAAATAACTAACAATGGATTTCCGAGAATCCATCAGTTCAGTAGATGCTACTGAATTCCACACCTTCTCCCTAACCTTATGATTTCCCTTGCTAGTAGATTTCACCGCTGTTTCCACTGCATTGTGAATATCATTCCAAACTGTCTCCGGGTGATCATCACTTACTACATGACTGCCTAACTGCTTTTCTAGTTGCTCCTGCGATATATATTCTCGGCTTTTTTTCCAGCAAATATAACTCTAATAGGTTTTCTTGCAATGCCTTTCCTACGTCCAGTAAGCCACCAGCAAATACGCGCTCGCACTAGAGCGTTTTCTGGATGTAAACATGTGCTCCAGAACGAGTGACAGTCTTCCGTCGATGATGATGATCGATCCCCTCCATCGGTGGCTGATTGCGATGTAATCTAGTTGGGTCCAGCGTTGTTACGACTTCAGAGGTTGCCATGTAGACAGATTTTTTTCTCACTCAAAGTTAGTAATGGCTAGAAATAGGCGGTTATCTGAGCATAACTGAAGCAGACGGTTGCCACTATCTGTTCGATCAGCTACGGCACCATAAGATCCACCTACGGACAACTGCCTAAGGTCGGTCGTTCACGGTCTTTTCTTGGGAAGTGTTTAGTGTTAGCTCCACTCTTCAAGTGGCTGCACTGCCTGAGACAGAAATCCGAGGGCTAAGGTGAAGTGTAACATTTTTTGGGTCGACCTTTTCCAACCACTTCCTTTCTTCGTGAGAAGGCGACATCGCTGCAGATGCTGGTTTTCTGAGGGAAACACTTTACTGCTGTAACACCCGTCTACAGTCAGCAGTAAGACTTCGCCCTCAGATCTTAAGTTGGTGGTTTTAGTCTTACCGTTCTACAATCGACCTGCCTGGCATGGTCGAACGTTCAGGAACATATTTTCCAGACAATATAGCTCGGTCATTAGGATAAGGAAGCCCGACCACCGCATCAAGGTAGCATCTACCGTCGGAAAGTTTACATCATTTACGCAATTTCTGAGTCAAACAAGTGAAAGTGTCGATTTACGATGACGATTACTAACTTTGTTGTTAGTGGGGCATAGATGGATTTAAAGCGAGATTACGTCACTACGCGCTGATTGGCTAATTTCCTATCCAATCAGCGCCTGATCGAAGCTTGGAGAACAGGATAGAAAATTCTCGTATTATTAGCTGCATGCTGATTGGTCAAATCCAGCCCAGTCGATCACGTGAATTTTCTTCCAGAAGTTTTCTCATGTAAAGGCTATAAATAGACTAGCATTGTATTTATCTTTGCCTTCTAGCCTTCTTCGCTTTCAAGCCTTTTTGCCTTGGCTTTCGCCATCACCTCCAGCTTCTTTTCCTTGCTATTTTGGAATACAATCCTTCCTGTTCAACCGTGTTCTGATTTGTGTTACTTGTCCAGTGTCTTGTGTTAAGAATACTAAGCAATAAGATTTAGCCGGGAAATATCGTAAGCAACCGTTACAACATTTGTGATGACAAAAGACGCACTAAACTAAGTTATAAGAAAGATCAGTACAGCTCATTTATATAAAGCGAACTCACCGAGATGAGTTTTCATTAGAAATATAATTTTGATGATTGTTATCTTCGTTCATTGTATCCAACATATTTGAATAAACATTATCGTTTGACATAAATTCACTCTGACCGAAATAGTCTGTTAATCCATGCTCATGAATAAAATAGGTTGTTGTGAATTGGGGAGATATAAATTGTGAATTGAACGATGATAATGATGAATTATTTGGTTCAGTAATAAATGCTTGTGCAAACGTTTGCGTTTCCTCGGATAAACGATTCATTGCTATAAATGATATGAAGAAGATTAGTGAAGGGCATGGAAAAACTGAGTCTAATAATTAAATTTTAGACAGCTTGTTATCGAAAACCTATCCAAGCTATTCTCGAAATACCTCCGTCCAGAAAACGGTAAATATTCCTATGCATAGATGGTTTTTGAAGACCAGCGCAATCGAAGATAGTTTCTGTCACAAAAGGAGATAGATGGTGGCTAACAGTAGAATTCATGACGAGAGATCCGTATTATCTAGGACTCATCAGCTGGATGTGCTTGCATGAGAGCTAATATTAACTCCGGGACGCGAACCCAGCACCATTCGCTTAAGATCTTTATTATTATTAGTTAACATCGTGAAGATTTCAAAGCACCAAAATCAATTCAAATGATGGTGTTCGGAGTAAATAAAAAACATGAGGAAATTCATTCGGAAAAGTTTAATCTTGTACTATCAGTTATTATTATCATTATTAAAAATACACCTCTCATCCTCATAACAATAACTAAACAACCAAACATATAAAATTGGAATAATGATGGTATGCTTATCGATGAAATGTACAAACAAGTGTTTAGATGTATCATTTTATTTCAAGGTAATCAACTCCAACTTGGAAACCTCAAGTATATTTTGGTCCTAACGATATTCAAGAGTACAAAAAGCTATCTTTGACTTATATTCATATGTTATTCGAGCCTAAACTGCTACGTCTCAAAATCAAGAAGTTGTCAATATGTTGGTGAATTCACGAATCATCCCTGAAAATGAAACTCAATAAACAATTACACTTATTACTGGAACGTTAGCCATGAGGTATTTAAACAAAGGGGAGGGGTAATTTGAACTTACAATCCAAAAGAGGAGATACAGTGTTTGATTTATTAAGATGGCTTATTATTCAGATCATATTAAGAGCAGATACATTTAGTTCAGAGCTAATCATATAACGTGTGTCGATTATCAATTTCACATGTGTTTCCCTTATCACATGTCTAGCTTATTTTTGTCTGACTGTAATACTAGTCATGCTGTATCACACCGAGTTGGCCCACTCGCACTCTCTGCTCCACATTCTATTGTCTGCCTGTTCATGCAGAATGCATGGAATAAATACATTCACATGAAAGCACATTAAGCTTTTAATTACCACTATCGCACAAATAAAGTTAGCCGAAATTGTGATATAAGGAATTCAAAGTAGAGATCCATTTCATAGCATATTCAATTTTTCCTACAAATTGAAGTCGAATCCCGGGTCAATAAACATGATTCTTTGTATATACACATCAACAGTTATGAAAAGTAATTATTACCTTCATCAGGTGAATCAGTGGAATAGAAAATTTTATCTGAGCGTAATAATGGTTGGTTCCAAAATGTGGACGACTCATTAACAGTTTCACTACATACAGGGTAAATTGTCAAAGGATAATAATCATTCATTGTATAATGGTGTATTTCAGTTGTTTGAATAGTATCAGGCCAATCAAATATCCTATTATTACTAAATATGTTAGGCAATTGATGTGGATTCTTATTCATGAATTTATCCAATTCATTAGATGGATTCGGTATAGTTGATATTGCTAGTAAAAAAAAAGGTAAGAGACATAATTATTGTTATGATTATCAATTATCGCTATTTGATAAAATGCATTTTCTACAAATAAACTTTTTGATATGATTCAGCAAGTTATATATAATTTCCGTGATACTATTTAAAAGTAATGATAATAAAAAATTGTATGAATTAAAATGTAACTGTTGAATGAAATCAATGTATATATTTGTTTCAATATCAATTGAATATGAAGAACAAATAAGTATCACTTCCAGTTATTACATGTTACATTAGAATAGTGAAACAGTAGATTAACCAAATGGAAAGCAGAAATATTTGAAATACTAACAACAATGATTATAGCAAATAGTTTGCAAAGAACCAATAAAATTGTTGAGCTGCAAATCATATAAGTATTTAATATCAGGAGACGAACAAAAACAAATCCAATTGAGATCCAACAACTGAATGACAGTTATTTATTATGACTATCCAACGAGTTCTAATCAAGAAACTTGTACTTAATTGATACAGTTTGGTCGAAAATTCAATAATTTCATGAACAGATATGGTACTGTCATTTTGAAAATAAACAAATAACTTCTCTGTATGCTAAATTACTGATAATTACAACTTAATTTATATGAAAATGGAAACTTATGAGTGATGCAAGCAGCTAGTATTTGTTACTTTCCAACTTTGCCAAAAAGCAAGTTCGTCTCAATGTGTACTCTTATATACATGCATGGAAATATATAGCTGTAAATATTTGACAGTTTTGGGTTATTGTAGGTTGGGGGGGGGGTTCTGCTTGTCATTCTAAACATCATTAGACATTGTTATTAAGCAGAACAACAATGAGTCTCATCATTCAGCACAAAAGATTATAGAGTTTGACATTAAAGATGTCCATTTAGAATACAAATATTTTTCATTAATTGACAGTACAGATTAAAATATATATTGAAGAACTACTATTGAATTTTGGAAATAAGGACACAATAACGAATACTCACGTTTATGGTTATCAGATTCCAAACTTTCTTGTGAAATGACAGACTGTTCAGCCATATTTCTTTCGGAGAAAAAAAAGATAAGATTTCTTATTAGGATTATACTAAATTTAAGGTGATATTCTTGTAGATTATGAATACTGGGGTCAAAACAAATGGCATACTTAAACAAAGAACATACATCATTCAATAAATGAAAGCTCAATTTTACGATAACCGCACTAGATACAATAAGTTTTTTCACTATTTAGGTGATTTTACATGCAGTCTCTGTAATAATGATGTTTAGGAATTTACGGTTGATAAGTAAGACAAAATACAACAATAACAAGATTGTGTAATTTCTATAAATGGTTAGGTTGTTTCTCTATCTACAGGTATACCTGATAATATGGAGAAAAGCGTGTACACATACACATATAACTCAGAAACTCCGCTTAGAGCGCTTCTAGAGTTACTGCCGGTCCGAATGCCAGAAAAGGAGGAGGGTTACGTGTGGAGTTAGAAACCGCAGTCCGTAGAAAACAAACTTGCTAAAAAAACGCTAACCAGAAGAAAAATGAACTGAACACTGTTCCAAGATGGAAGTTCTTTAATTAGAAAAGTTATAACGTTTCACGGTGAAAGCCAAGTTTCTTTCGGAAGTCACGAGGCTGATGCCCCTTCTGACAAACAGAGCAACAATTAATAACTGTGAATTGAATCCGCATCGAATGACCATATGCCAAACAAGAATGGTCCAATTTCAGTCATAATATCAACAACAGTATACTCAAAACTATTTCACATTGAATTAAATCTCATTTACCGAAAAAAATATACAAGAAAATGGCAAATAAGAGAATAATGGGGATTAACATATTCGAAATTAAAATAAGCGCTAAGTGATGGAATGTGTCTCTTTCCTGAATACAGAGATTAAGTTTTAATTAATGAATTGATATATTTTCAGCCATTCACAAATTCTTGATCCGAACACCCACGAATCACTTGAGATTTTTTTAGTTAATACTGATATATTATTTGCGTGAGAATGTGACCAGAGTTGATAAAAGAGTGGACTCAGCCTAAGTGCAGGCTGATGAGATGCCCGCAATGATCGCAAATAGTGATGGATGGCGAAAGCAAGGGAGATGGAAAAGGCGACGGCAATAAGCAACATTAGGCAACCATTCAGAATCATCAAAGAAACCAGTATTAGGAATCTGAATGTAAGTGAGACTATTTCGGAAATAAATGGAACTATTATTCATTCTCAATCCAGGAGACTGAATCGATGGGCAGAACACTTCAGCGATCAGTTCAACTGACGTTCAGCCACACTTCGGTTGTCCACGATCTCCAGTCATCCTGAATGGGAAACCGAAATAAGTCCCCCTAGTCTTAATGAAGTTGATAAAGCGATAGGAAATCTGAAGCGAGGGAGATCAGCGAGTGCTGATAGATTGACCCCTGAGATTTTTGATGATGCTGCTCCAGTTTTAGCAACTAGATTGATTGACATCTTAGCTAGAATCTGGGAACTGGACTCAATACCATCCGACTGGTCTCAATCACTGATTGTTACAATTTATAAGAAAGGACAAAAGTCTTCTTGTGACAAACACAGGGGAATAAGTCTAACTAATATAGTTTCTAAATTGTTAGCCTCCATTATACTCAGACGCCTAACTAGAGCTCGTGAAGAGCAGACTCGAGAAAACCAAGCTGGTTTCAGACCTGGAACACAGGCATACATTTAGGGGTCCTACAATAGTTGTTTTCCTGGTCCTGAGGGCGGCATTTGACTCTGTTGACCGTGAGGTTCTATGGCAGTGTCTGTCATTATAGGGTGTACCAGAGAAGCACATCAACCTTATACGAGCCCTGTACTCGAACACCACTGGTCGAGTGAGAGCTTATGGCGAACTGTCATCGGAATGGATTACTTCAAGTGGTGTCCATCAGGGATGTACACTGTCTCCATTCTTGTTTAAATTTGTCATAGGCATGCTGCTAGATATCACATTATCTTCGTCTGAATTTTCAGCAGTAGACCTTTTACCAGGAGGCTCGCTCATTGACTTAGAATATGTCGATGACATAGTTCTATTCGGTGAAGACGCTGACAAAATGCAGTCTTCTAACTACTCTGAGCAACAATGCAAGCATGTTCGGGATGCGGTTCTCACCCTCGAAATGCACAATGATGCTTCACGATAGGCTTGCGTAAGCTAGTGATAGGGAGTGAAGTAACAAGTACTTGTCATTAGTGACAACCATTGCAATCTGCTATGGAATATTTCTCTCTAAAATGTGTCGAATTTTCTCTAGGAATGATGATTTGTTATAATTTAAAATTATGTATAAGGTGAATAATTATCAAGTAAAAGAGTGATGAATTAACTTACTCATTATATTCATCTATAAGTTGTTTTGTAAATGGTATTTTCGAAAGAGTTGATGGTGAACTTCTTTTTTCATTTTGATCATTTACATATTGGTTTTCAACAATAAATGAGGATGATATTTTATCAATTGAAGCTGATTTATAGTCTAGAAGTACTGGTGAAGGATCATTTCGATAGAACACATCAATTTCACAAGGTGACTTATTATTATTATTATCATCCACATCCGGTCCAGATGTAGAGGATGGTGAAGAAGAATTATGACATTTTGTACGTGAAGTGATACGTTGGGCTTGTTTTCCACGTACTTCACGATGATGATGGTGGTGATGATGATGATGATTATTTACATCTTCGGTTAGTCGTATCGATGCTTGAACAGCTGCAACAATATCAGCTTCTGCCATTCGCGGTGGCGAAGCATCTTTATTGACTGCTGTTGTTGATGTGGTCGATGCTGGTGGTGATATAGATTCGATTTTTGTAAAACGAGAACGATTTGAAACAGTAGAATGATCGTCTGATGCATTAGCAGTCAATCCTAATGGCTTAGCAATTTCGACCAAAGTGGCCATTGCTTTCTTTTTACGATTTACTCGTGTTGTACTCGTTTTGTCAGATGTTTGATTAGTTAATTTTGATAAGCTTTTTGACAACGGTTTCCTAAAACGAAGAAAATAATTACAATAAACTAAAACAAAAAGGAGGCGAATTTGATTTGTCCACATATGATGAATTTGAAGATAATTTTTACTTTCAATAACAAGTTAACAAATGAAAAGATATACTAATAATAGGAGAAAATTCTTTGACTTCTGATAAGAAGCCGTGAGCAATGGGGTTCAATCGTATCGAGTATGAGTCAATTACCCACCGAAGACAATGGAAGAAAGACACGAAATATAATGGACTGATAGGAACTGTACATTAACACCACTGGATGCCGATTCCGTAGTAGAGAGGGTAAGCGTTCACACGTGAGACCGCAGGTACTGGGTACTGAGGTCGTTGATACGCACTGCTGAAGAGTCCTATGTTGGAAAGAAACAGTCGTCTAATGCTTCCGAGTTTTTAGTGATGATCTAACATTGACTAGTTTGAGAAATATTAGGATAGCTGTTTTATTGCAGTTATGGAATTAAGAAGTCAAATTCATTATACGTTGATAAACACCAAAGCGAGTTATCGTATTCGTGATTTATCTAGCTTAACCCATTCGAGTTAACACTAGATTAATAAATGTTTAGTTGAAAATCTTTTGTTGTTCGTTTTAGTTCAATCTTCTAAACTTAACATTATTTTTAGTTATGATGTTATTTTTCAGTATTTTGAAAAAAACGAGTGGAAGGTGATGGATCTCGACTTGTAATGATGCAGAAATTCGCTTTATAGTAGTTACTAAATGACACTATAAATGTGCATAAACTCGTGATAAGTTATCTACACAATTAACAAGAAGATAATTTAGTTTTATACAGTCGATTTAACAAAGATTCACAGAAAACACAAAAAACTTAAGGAATCCTATTTGATTAGCATTTTATTGTAACCATCTACAGCCTAACCCTCAGATTTGACTGCTTTTAATACTACAACACTCATTTAGATAAAAGAATCAATAAGAAAGAATAAGTAGTAACTGTAGTCGTGTTGATTAAATTAGTTAGTGAGACTATTTAGACTAGATTATGAAGTCAAATAAAATGATAAATTCATTTTTCAGTTTAAAATTATTTACGGTGGGAATCAGTGTGCGTATAAACCAATGTTGTCAACCCTTAATACAACTTATTTATACCAAGCAAAAGTTTAGGTAGTTTAGGATTTGGGTATGATACCGCCCAGTTGAACAAACTGAAGTGAGGCAGAATTCAAACTAGTGGATCAGTATGTAAAGTACCTATCTATTATTCGGCAGAGATATAGACTTGAAACTCCCCTCTGATTGATCTCTTAGATCTAGGAAATCAAGTAGCATTATTACTATCCTTTATAAGGAAGTTTTGATGCAGAGCGGCAAATAGGAATCAACTCTATATTATATTAATCTCTATAAACTAAGTAATTATAGATTGAACAATCGTTTCATTATTATTAAATTTTAACAATATTGTTCAATAACAGAAAAGAAAATTCACTTACAAGGATGCTTTTTGGTTTTTGGTTTCATCAACTGATGATTGTTTTGATAAGCCGAACTAAAATGTAATATTTTTTTCAAAATGAAAATAAACATAATAATAATAATAATCCAATAAAGAGCTTATCACTATAAAGTTGATTCAAACTATATTATGGTGGTTGTATGATTAAGAAAGAAAAATAGTCAATATTAATGCATAATAAATGTAATTCATGCTTGCTTAAGTGGTAATAATTTAGTATAGAAAAGTTACAATGTAGAATTTCGTACATAAGTACATCAGTTCAGGTTGCCATGCCCCATCAGCAGAGACACAACTGTCAGTTCAAATCCAATAGTGATAGCAATAATAGAAGTATTAGCAGTAATGGAGAAGATTAAGGAGCGAAGATATGATTCAAGAAGTATAATTCAGTAAGATAAATTTAGAAGGAGAAAGGTAGAAATTATGAGGAATGCAGAAGCCTAGAATTTCATAGAACACAAAGAGTGGATGCACCTGAGACACTGCAAACCATTCTAAGCCATATCGTTCAAGGTCTATAACCATCAGTGACTATCGTCTCGCGAACCCCAACCAGGTAGCCTACATCTACCAACATGACTCAGACCACTTGTCAGTGACTTCATGGATTTCTGCCATGTTTTGGTTTGGCCGCCCGTAGCTTTCATCCAATCTACTCCTACATTGCAAAACATAGCTCGTCACGGTGGTTAGACATACTACCACGCAGTACACTTGTATTTTAGTTAGCAAACGGATATCTCGCCTACGACATAAGTAATGCGAGTTGGCAAAAGCCAATTGAGTCTTCTGTATCCAAGCTGAGATTTCGTCACACACCAGGCCATCGACACTGATGAGACTCCCAACTTAAGTGAAGCGGTCTACACGCTCGACTACTTCACTCACTATCACTAGTTCAGCTACCGATGAAACCCAATCTTGAAACATTTTGCATTTCGAGGGTGAGAACCGCATCCCGAACATGCTTGCATTGTTGCTCAGAGTAGTTAGAAGACTCTGCATTTTGTCAGCGTCTTCACCGAATAGGACTATGTCATCGACATATTCTAGGTCAATAAGCGAGCCTCCTTGTAGAAGGGCTAGTCCTGAAAATTCAGACGAAGATAATGTGATATCTAGCAGCATGTCTATGACAAATTTAAACAAGAATGGAGACAGTGGACATCCCTGACAGACACCACTTGAAGTAATCCATTCCGATGACAGTTCGCCATAAGCTCTCACTCGACCAGTGGTGTTCGAGTACAGGGCTCGTATAAGGTTGATGTACTTCTCTGGTACATCCTATAATGACAGGCACTGCCATAGAACCTCACGATCCACACAGTCGAATGCCGCCCTCAGGACCAGGAAAACAACTATTGTAGGACCCCTAAATGTATGCCTGTGTTCCATATCTGAAACCAGCTTGGTTTTCTCGAGTCTGCTCTTCACGAGCACTCGTTAGGCGTCTGAGTATAATCGAGGCTAACAATTTAGAAACTATATTAGTTAGACTTATTCCCCTGTGTTTGTCACAAGAAGACTTGTGTCCTTTCTTATAAATTGGGACAATCAGTGACTGAGACCAGTTGGATGGTATTGAGTCCAGTTCCCAGATTCTAGCTAAGATGTCAATCAATCTAGTTGCTAAAACTGGAGCAGCATCATCAAAAATCTCAGGGGTCAATCTGTCAGCACTCGCTGATCTCCCTCGCTTCAGATTTCCTATCGCTTTATCAACTTCATTAAGACTAGGGGGACTTATTTCGGTTTCCCATTCAGGATGACTGGAGATCGTGGACAACCGAAGTGTGGCTGAACATCAGTTGAACTGATCGCTGAAGTGTTCTGCCCATCGATTCAGTCTCCTGGATTGAGAATGAATAATAGTTCCATTTATTTCCGAAATAGTCTCACTTACATTCTGATTCCTAATACTGGTTTCCTTGATGAGTCTGAATGGTTGCCTAATGTTGCTTATTGCCATCGCCTTTTCCATCTCCCTTGCTTTCGCCATCCATCACTATTTGCGATCATTGCGAAGGTTTTCATTAGTCTGCGCTCGAGCTGACTCAGCTCCTCATCGTACTCAGTGTCAGGCACGATGAGCTGTCGAGCATCCATCAATTTGGGAGATGCTACTGAAATCCATGCCTTCTTCCTAACCTTATGGTTTGCCTTACTAGGATATATCAGTGCCGTCTCCACAGCCTTTTTGATATCATTCCAAGCTGCCTCAGGAGGGGAATCACTTACTACATGGCTGCCTGTTTTTCTAGTTTTTCCTGAAATATACTCTCACCTTTATAATCATTAAGTAGAGCCCTAACAGGTTTCCTTGCGATATTTTTCTTGCATCCAGTAAGGCACAAACAAATACGCGCTCGCACTAGAGCATGGTCTGAGTCTAAACAAGCGCTTCAGAATGAGCGGTAATCTTCAACAGAGCCTCTCCACCGATGGCTTATAGTGATGTGATCTAATTGGGTCCATCGTTGTGAAGACATTGGGGGTTGCCAGGTCAAAAGGTGTTTTATTTGTGCTTCAAGTTAGTGTTTGCTAGGAATAGGCGGTTATCTGACATTATTTTCCATTATCTGTTCTATTAGCCACGACACCATAAGATCCACACAGGTGGCTTTCTTTTTCGCTGAGTCTACCTACTTGAGCGCAAATGTCACCAGCCATTATTACTATATCAGAGTGCCTAACATTTTGGAGGCCAGAAAGCTTTCTGTTGAACTCATCTTTCACCTAGTCCAAACTGCAAACAGTGGGGGCGTAGGCAGATACGACGAAGAGGCAACGGCGATTATCCCTATCCTGCCGATTCCGTACCGTTCCGTTTAGTTGGACAGCGCATAAGTGACTGTCTGTCAGGATCCAGTCTAAGAGAGCTAGTTCTGCCCTACGACTTAATACTATACCTACTCCAGCAAGGCATCAGGGCTTCCAGAAACACGAATCGTAAACCCTGTTGTGTCTCTATCTTCACTAGGTGAAATCAAATTGATGATTTTGCTCGAATCTTGTATGCGCGTTTTGAAGACGCAACATACATCGATCGCCCAGGATTCCAAAGTTCTAGGTAATGAAGCCTGTTTTCCTATTTGGCATAGGGTCCGAATATTAAAAGCTACTATATGTAATTTGGTACGGGGTTTCAAAAGACCAGGAATATTTCGTGAGCTAATAACGTTTGCTTCAGTGGCGTGAGGTGATAAACGATCGAAAGAAAGGTTGGTGGAGGAGATAAGAGAGTTATTAGGATGTGCAGAAAGGATTTGACCGATTTGGTCTCGTGTGCTTTTATGGGTATGAGAGCGGATGTTACTTCCCGGCTGCCCACACCGTGAAAGCATTTGTAGCCTAAATAGTTTTCGTCAGAACTAAGAAATAAATTATCCAATAGGCAGTAGGCTTTATTATTTATTTCGGTTTTTAAGTGGTGTAAAGTCTATTTTAATGTGAGTCATCTGATAACTAATGTGTTTAAATGAGATTATAGTATACTTAAAATGTCAGAAAATCAACTGAACAATGTATTCTGCATCACGAACGAACAGCGAGTGTCCGGCGCATCAACTGGCCTAGTGGGTTTAGAGTATCTATCCAGAGGAGTTTGAAAAGTCTGATTCTAAACCAATGGTGCACATGAGCACCAGGATTCTGAGAAAACAAATGGCCTATGAACATACCATTTGTCGCTGACAGCCATGGAATCGCATCTCATGACGTCGCCTCACTGCTTTGTGGAATTGGTCTGTGTACGTCGAGGCTTGGGAACTAGGTCCCTAAGAAAACCGCCTTTCTCGGTTCGGGCGTCCGGACCATATCTTAACCCATTCGAAAATTCAATAATTTGTATGGCTCACGAATATTATGTGCTTTTTTGTACCAGTAATTTTGTTTAAATAAGGATAAATAAAATAAATAAATCCTAAAATGTTATTTGAAAATCACTTTCATAAGTCACTACTTATTTACTCATTTATTGAAATCTAACTTACCATGTTCCTTTTGTTTATCATTATTGTTTCATTTGATGAAATTGACTGACTATTATTACTACCAGCAGTAATTAAAACATCTGACGAAGACTGACGAAAATAACGAAAATAATCTTTATTTATGGAAAGTAAATTTAAGCTTGATGTTAACCAATCTTTGAATTTTCTCAAACATATAATATATTTTCTCATTGTTTTATATGGATATGTAATGATAATTAAAATCCATTGTAAACTGATATACTTTACAGTGAATAATAATCCAAATAACCACTGGAAATAATTCTCCCAATCGAATTTTGTTGAAAATATTTTAACTTTTGATTGTTGATTTTGTTCATCGGAATTAATTTTATCTTTCAATTTAAGTTTTGATCCTGTATTATTAGAATTCAGTGTAGTTATTTCGTCATTTTCAATGGTATTATTTTTGAGGTGATTTTTTGTAAATGTAACAGTGTTTAATGTTGTCGTTATTGAAGATGGTAATTGTGAATTGGACGTGGTAGTTAATTCTGGTGAAGGAGGATTACACAAGTTTTTATTGTTTGTGCAATGATTGATATATAATTGATTATTTGGCTGATTTAAATTGAATCGTTTTGAGGAATCCGTATATAAATTTTCCGGTTGTCCTTCTATATAATATCGTAGTTTAATATGATCTTTATAAATTTCTTTAGCATCTCCATACGATACTGCAAGTGCTACAACGATACTGAGCAAATAGAATATAGGAACCATTATCCTGTTTAAAAAATGTAAGACATCAATTGAATTAATCATATGATCAACATAAATATGCAATTAATAATCTCATTGAGCAATGCATATGACATATTATACTAACAATTGATCAACTGTCCCCATTTTAAAAGCACAACAAAGTTTGTACACACTCAATGCTGTAGATACGATACGACATGGACTCAGAATGAACAGTTTAAAATTTGCCAAAAATCAATTACAAATCTGACTAAATAATTGTCTGACTGACACAGTTCTCATCCCATTTTATGATCCCACCAGTCAATATTAAGGTCAACATATATGACTCATCACCCCTTATATTATTTACCAATAGGATGGAAAATAAGACATGAAGTGGATAGAAAAATCTAGTCACGCTGTTGACCTAGATCATAATATGCAAAAAGCATGCTAGTGAAATGCTGATCATTAGTGGAAACTTTATGTTCCATAGTCGGTAGTGATTTATTCATGCAATTAGCTGATGGACTACTGATTTGAAATTTCTAGACATCGAGACAAAGACATTTTAATTTCCATTTCTTTACTAAATGCCAGTTCAATAGAGCTTTGCAGAGATGGTAAAACATCGATTTTTCTTAGCACTAATGAATAATATTAACAAGAAACACCCAATTTGAAGATAAATCAGAAAAATAAATTCAATTAGACGATCGCTGACAACTATGCAGAACACGACTGAAGTTTAGAATGTGTACTATTGAATACCGACTCAGTGATTTGATATTAACACAGTGACTCTAAGATCTTGAGGTTCTGGTTCCGATTCCTTGCATGCTGTAGACTGTAGACGGGTGTGACAGCAGTAAAGTGTTTCCCTCAGAAAACCAGCATCTGCAGCGACGTCGCCTTCTCACGAAGAAAGGAAGTGGTTAGAAAAGGTCGACCCAAAAAATGTTACACTTCACCTTAGCCCTCGGGATTTCTGTCTCAGGCAGTGCAGCCACTTGAAGAGTGGAGCTAACACTAAACACTTCTCAAGAAAAGACCATGATCGACCGACCTTAGGCAGTTGTCCGTAGGTGGATCTTATGGTGCCGCAGCTGATCGAACAGATAGTGGCAACCGTCTGCTTCAGCTATGCTCAGATAACCGCCTATTTCTAGCAAATACTAACTTTGAGCATTAGGTAAAAAATCTGTCTACCTGGCAACCTCTGAAGTCGTAACAACGCTGGACCCAACTAGATTACATCGCAATCAGCCACCGATGGAGGGGATCGGTCATCATCATCGATGGAAGACTGTCACTCGTTCTGGAGCACATGTTTACATCCAGAAAACGCTCTAGTGCGAGCGCGTATTTGCTGGTGGCTTACTGGACGTAGGAAAGGCATTGCAAGAAAACCTATTAGAGTTATATTTGCTGGAAAAAAAGCCGAGAATATATATCTCAGGAGCAACTAGAAAAGCAGTTAGGCAGTCACGTAGTAAGTGATGATCACCCGGAGACTGTTTGGAATGATATTCACAATGCAGTGGAAACAGCGGTGAAATCTACTAGCAAGGTAAATCATAAGGTTAGGGAGAAGGCGTGGAATTCAGTAGCATCTACTGAACTGATGGATTCTCGGAAATCCATTGTTAGTTATTTTCCTAACTAATTGTAGATTGATGTGACTCATAGTTTTGTTCATTTCCATAAGACAAGCTATATTGGTCGAAACAGATAAAGTTTAAAGCAAAAGTTGATCTTGTTCTGACTATAGCTTTCCCATAGACTCTGTGCTCGCCAATATTGCGTTTACCGTTCTAGAATTACATCTGTAGGACAAATTAAATCCTACATCCATACCGCCTGGCTATGAGTGCGATGAAGAACGGAATCAGCTTAGACACAGGCTGATAAAAAGGACACGCGGTGATCTAGAACGGTTGTTGGTAGTGAAAGCATAAGACATGGGAAAGTCAACGACAATATATAACAGTAGACAGCTGTTCCAACATATCAAGGACACTGGTATTAGGAATCCATCTGTTAGCGACACTATCTCGGGAAAGGATGGCCGTATCATTCATTCTCAATCCAAGAGGTTGGATCGATGGCCAGAATACTTCAGGGATCGTTTCAACTGGCCTTCAGCCACATTTCAGTTACTCACCATCTCCAGTCAACATGAATGGCGAGATGATGTTATTCCTTCAACTCTCAGTGAGGCTGAGAAGGCCATAGGAAACCTAAGGTCAAAGTAAGCAACAGGCCCGTACAGGCTTACCCCTGAGAATCTTGAGGATGGTGATCCAGTTTTAGCAGTTAAGTTGATTGGGATCTTAGATAGAATTTAGGAACAGGATATAATCGTATCTGACTGGTCTCAATCACTAATTGTCCGAGTCTGTAAGAAAGGACAAAAGTCCTCTCGTGACAATCATTGAGGAAAATGCTAGCCTCGATAACACTTAGACACCTAACTACAGCACCGGAAGAACAGACTAGAGAAAACCTAGTTGGTTTCAGACCCGGACGAGATTGTACATACCTTATATTCACTCTTCGTCAGGTCCTTGAACACAAACACACAGGAGTACCGAAAAAGTATATTAACCTTACACAGGCTCTCTACTCGAACATCACTGGTCGAGTGAGAATTGGTGGAGAACTGTCATCGGAATGGGTTACTTCAAGTGGTGTCCATCAGCGTTGTCCACTTTCTCCATTCTTGTGTAACTTTGTGATTGACATGCTCTTAGATAGGACACTTTGATTATCTGAATTTTCAGGAATGGACCTTCTAACAGGAGATTAGCCAGTTGACTTACCATACGCCAATGAAGAGACTGACAAAGTGCAGAGTTTTCTGATTAACCTAAGCAACAATGCAAGCATGTTCTGGATGCGATTCTCACCCTCCAGATGCAAAACGTTGCTTCACGATCGGCTTGCGTGAACTAGTGATATGGAGTGAAGTAGTTGAGCGTGTTGACCGCTTCACTCCTTTTGGGAGTCTCGTCAGTGCTTGTGTCTGATGAAACATTGGCATGGATACTGAAGGCTCGACTAGCTTTTGCCAACTTGTCTCATTTATGGCGTGGGCGAGATATCTATCTACCAACCAAAGGACGAGTTCACAGCACAGCAGTTCGCTCTATGACTGCTTTATGGCTGTGAAATATGGCCAGTAAGAGTAGAGGATATTCATAGGTTACTGGTATTCGATCACAGGTGTCCTCAGTGAATTGCTCGTGTATCCTGGGTCAAATGAGTAAGCAATGCTATTGTTGGGAAATGAGAATGGAAGATCTATTTTTGAAGTAGTGAATGTTCATCAGTTGAGGTGGTTGGGACATGTGTTGCGTATGCCTAACCACCGACTGCCTCGTCGAGCTATGTTTTGCTATGTAGGAATAGGCTGGGAGAAAGCTAGGGGCGGCCAAACCAAAACATGGCATAAATCCATGAAATCACTGACAGGTGGATTTGAGTCATGTTGTTAAGTGTCGACTACCTGGTTGAAGTCTACAAGATGATAGTAACTGATGGTCAAAGACCTTGAACGACATGGCTCAAAAAGTTTGCAATGGTACAGGTGCATCCAATCTTTGTGTTCTCTCAAATCTTAATCCTCTGAATTCCTCATCGCCTCTATCTTTTTTAAAATTTATTTCACTGTATTATACCCTTTGATAAATTTCTTCGAACTGTAATCTGTCCGATTACGTCCAATACTTCTACTACCTCTACTGATATGGGGTCTGAATTGATAGTTGTGTCTGTGTGTTAATATGATATGGCAACTTGAACTGATGTAGGTACATACAAAGTTTTATGTTGTAACTAATTGCGTGACTGACGTATTTCGGTTTATTTACACAGTTTCTTATAGTACATTTACATGAATTCACTTCAAACTTTTTTGACTGGAAAACGATCGAGCAGAGGTTTCAGTCAGTTCATATATCTTATTCAGCCGACCAATGATAGCGGTTCTAAATAAAGATTTTATGATCATTAGGATTTAGGAACTAAACTTATTGTTTATGTTGCAAACTAGGACATACGCGAATACCAATGAGGTAACGATCAATACGAAACGCTGTTTTAATTTATCAAAATCTTTTTTATAACTTCTAACGTTCTTAAACGCCTATCTCGATACGCAATATTGGATGGAGTGGAAGTAGGTTAGAATAAAACCTGAAGCGACCAAATTGAAATGTGTTCCACGTTTATGAAGTGAGTGCCTGTTGGTTTGAGTCATGTTAGCAGATCCAAACTACCAGGATGGGGCCTGCGTGGTTATCTTGGCTAACGGTTGAAGATGTTGGGTGAAATAGCTCAGAATCAGTCGCAATAATGTAGGCCCATTCACTCTTGGTCGTCTTTCAGATCCTGAGTTTGTGCGGAGACCTTTTGGTTTCGAGTTTTAGCTTTGTTTACAATCACACTATTGTGGCATTTCTGCCGATCAACACAACGAATTTCAATTAGAATGAAATTACAGACGACTGTTATCAAATTCTGAATGATATCGACAGAGCCCTCTCAAATGCTAACGACCAAGATTAATGGATTAAAAGAGATTATTTATTGGATATGTGTATGGGGAGTACAGAGACTTGATATCTGCAGGTTGGATAACGAAGACCATCTTCTGAAACTTTTTACCAACTTTTAATACAGTTATTGTCAATATATCACTTGGGGCAATCCTACAGCAACTCAAAAAATTATATATCAATCAATTCCAGAAGGTCCGAACCACTTAATAGATGATGAGTGGTTACACTTACGGGACATCATAAAAATTAATATCACAACAGTTTGCGGCTTCGTGAAATATGTGGATACCATGTCGAGCTTAACAGTGACTAGATATGTGTAACATGTTCCAATCATTGTAACTCATGAAGTTTTACAGTTTCATCAAAAACTTTAGCATCTTTTCTATGTCCTTTACACTTTACATCAATGAAACACAATTGTCAAACACGTTTGATCAGGAAAAAAACAAACAAACAAAGGAAGAAACATACATAGACATTATTGATACTTAGTTTCATTGTATAAAATTCTACTTACGATAAAAATGATTCAATTGATGGTCTAGGCAATAAACGAAGACATGAATCTAAAAGATTAGCATTAAAATTAGCTTCCAATGAAATTTTAGGTAGATCAATTAATAAAATATGACTGTTATTTGTTTTATTCAATTGTTGCATATTCCACCATTCGATAATAGTCGATTGAAATAATGTTGGATATAATTGAATAATTAAATTTGTTGTTAAAATTGTATGAGTAAAATCTGGATAATGTCGTAGTTCAATGATAATTTGTTGACCTGGTAAAAGTGTAATAATATTAGAATTGTTATTTTCATCAGATGGTAGTATACATGGATCTAATTTAAAACCAGACAAACTACATGATGTATGTGAATATAGAGATTCGGTGAATTTCTTCTGTTCAGCATTCATTGATGGCACAAGGCTCAGCATAAATATATTCAACATAACTTGTCCAGAATTGAGTAGAACTAAACGTCGTCGTAATGAAAGACTTGTTAATAAATCTTTATGATAATCAAAATCAACATAATAATTCAAATCATTTGATTGTTTTCCAAGTTTAGGTAGAAATAGAGAAGGAAAACCACGGATCATTGCTGTATTAGGCGGTTCACCTTGAGAAGAGAGAATATTTATTTTTTTTGGAAAAAAAGGTAAACAACGAAATAAAATTTTATAAAATATTGTTGATAAGAAAACTAACTAAATTACTGTCAACAACAAAAATTGTATAGAAAATTTAGTGATTATTTATATAAGTACAAATCAACCAAGTCAAAATATTATCTGACAGCTACAGGATATTTTGTCAGTCAGTCGGTCATATGCAACGTAGAACTTGGTACGTAAGTACATCAGTTCATGTTGCCATACCACATTAGCACACACAGATGTAATTGTCAATTCAAATCCAATAGTAGAAGAGGTAGTTAAGGTATTGGGAGTAATTGGAGAGGTTAGGATTAGAAGATATTATTCAAGAAATATGATTCAGTGAAAAAAGTTTAGAGAGTCAAAACTAGACGGGTTGAAGAATCCAGAAGATTAGGATTTAAGAGAACACAAAGAATAAATGCACCGGCGCCATTGCAAACGATTTTGAGCCATGTCATTCAAGGTCTCTAACCACCGATTATTATCATCTCGCGGACCCCAACCAGGTAGTCGACAATTACCAACATGGCTCAGTCCACTAGTCAATGACTTCATGGATTTCTGCCATGTTTTGGTCTGGCCGCCCCTAACTTACTTCCAACCTACTCCTACACTACAAAACAAAGTTCTTCGAGGCAGTCGGTGGTTAGGCATACGCAACACATGTCCCGACCACCTCAACTGATGAAGTTTCACCACTTCATCGATTGATCTGCCATCCTTGCCTAGTACTCGTTTCCTAACGACAGCATTGCTTACTCGGTTGTCCCACGGTATACGAGCAATGCTTCGAAGACACCTATGATCGAAAACCAGTAACCTACGGATATCTTCTACTCTCACTGGCCATGTTTCACAGCCATATAGGAGAACGGAGCGAACTGCTGCACAGTACACTCGTCCTTTGATTAGAGAACGGATATTTTGAGAAATGCTTATAAATAGATGTATAATTAAATCATAGACTTTTATTCGAAAAAAATTTTAATAACTTTCAACAAACCACGAACTGTTGAATGCAAAGATCTAACTTTTAATTTTCCAATGGGTAAATTCTATATAGGGAAATGAACAAATATTTTTGTTAATTTAACCCCTCTTTCATCAATCACCATTATATATTGCTTCATATTACATTATATAATTCATTGTTACACTTTACTACATAGATGATTGTAAGCAACTGACGAGAAACCAAATAATTATGCTTAAATTGCTGTTCTGACCTTCTTTAAATTCATAAAAGGAACAAACTCAATTAACTGAGTGCTGATGTCTTTGACTGTGTCGCTACATGACACAAGTTCAAATCCTCACGAGAAGAGTATCAGTAGCTAAAGGATTGCAGATAGATACCTGATTGAAAAGGAACCACAACTAACATGAATACTACTGTCAAAGATTTTTACAGATTGCTTAACATCAAATTAACAATAATTTGAAATTCAACTACAGTACTACAGGTTATTGTCTTATTCAAAGTGCAAATGATTAACTTCTCTGCAACATTTACCATACGAAATATGTAACTACTATTTTACTACATAAAGTATGATATGATTGGCCAGGGTCAAGTTTGTTTGACATCCTGGTGATACGTACTATAGGACTGATCCCTAGAAGTACGATGATATGATTATAATAATTTACTATTGAGACTTTAAGTAAACAATCCATAGAATAATTTACAATAAATACCAAAAAAAAGAAAAAAAAATAAGAAACATGTAATTAGAGAAGAAAAGTACAAAGCATGCATTAATTAACTTACAAAATGCTCCGATAGTTTTTTCATTGAGATCAAATTTGAATGATAAATCTTGATGTAATTTTTGATGAGTTGTGTTATTGTTGAATAGACTACTGAAATCCAAGTTGATATCATAAAGAATTTGATCAATTTTCAATGAAGGATTTGAGTCATCTTTCAATTTAGTAAATGTTTTGCTACCACTGCTACTACTACGACCGCTGAGCGATGGTACATTACGAATGTACAAATCAATATTAGGCGATATAGTATGTTTACTAATACCATAATCATTTTGAAATTCATTCATCAAGGCAGTAATTGATCTTGTCAATTTAGATATCGGTTTGGTAGTTGATAATTTGCCAAGTGTTAAACCAATTTGACCAAAATTAATTTCTAACCATAAAGGTTCAATTGACGTTAAATTATTTCGTATTATTAATAGATTACGTATTATTATATGCTTATTATTATTATTATTATTCATTTTATTCTGTTTGAATAATTCAAATAAATTTAAATATGGTGTAAACATTAAACGAAAATATTGTTCACTACCATTCGATGGTAAAATATAACTTGGAGGATAAGTTGAATTGATCATTTGATTGGTGGATTGACAATCTGAACATTGAAATGGTTCAATGGCAAACTCTCCATAATCTGTAGTGAATAGCTGTACAACAGAAATAAACATTAAAAAAAAAGAGAATGAAAAGAAGAGATAGCATAAAATAAATAATAATTTATGTAGACTTCAAAGATGTCAATGTAAAGCTGATAGGTCGTTTTTTCTCCACAGATAGTTATTTAATTACAAGTAGGATTTAAAATCACTCTTGATGAAGATGCCTTGGAGGACGTTGACACCTTTACATATCTGGGCAGCATCATCGACAATCAAGGTGGATCCGATGCAGATGTGAGGGCACGGATTGGCAAAGCAAGGGCTGCATTTCTACAGTTGAAAAATATCTGGAACTCCAAACAACTTTCAAACAAAACCAAAATCAGGATTTTCAATACAAATGTCAAGACAGTTCTACTATATGGAGCGGAAAAATGGAGAACTACCAAAGCCACCATCCAGAAGATACAAGTGTTTATTAACAGCTGTCTACGTAAAATACTTCGTATTCGTTGGCCAGACACCATCAGCAACAACGAACTGTGGGAGAGAACAAATCAGATTCCAGTGGAGGAGGAAATCAGGAAGAAGCGGTGGAAGTGGATAGGACACACATTGCGGAAAGCACCTAGCTGCGTCACGAGAAGAGCCCTCACATGGAACCCTCAAGGCAAAAGGAAAGGAGGAAGGCCAAAAAATACATTACGCCGAGAAATAGAGAAAGATATGAGAGGAATGAACAAACATTGGACAGAACTGGAGAAAGAAGCCCAGGACAGAGTTGGTTGGAGAAAACTGGTGGGCGGCCTATGCTCCATTGGGGGTAACAGGCGAAAGTAAGTAAGTAAGGATTTAAAATAGTTGAGTATTTATAACAAGATAAATTATAAAACATTACAATCAAGTAGAAATTAATGAATAAGTGATTACATTCAGTGTTGATTCATATAATCATATAAAGGATATGATGTGTCAATTTTACTTATTATTTGGAAGTATTAAAAAATTTTCAATGGTGTAATTTGAAACGAGAGATTCAAAACAGTGATTTTTTTTTGATTGCAAGGGAGAATGATAAAAATTTAATTGGAAAATAATATTTCTACTCATTGAGATAATATAAATATAGTATTTTTATTAGTCATTTTATTCGAAATTATCAAGTACAACTCTGATAATAATATCTATAAAAACAATATTGTTCATTGATGTATCCGATTAACAAAAAACCCTAGGCGTGCTCAATGAGGCTATAAATTTACCAATAATCTTTTGTTTTTGTGAATTCTGATAAATTTTGCAACTGTAACGTTAGACACCGACATCCTAGAAACTTCCTAGTTCCTATTCCTAAAGCTTGAACAGAAAACAGGAAGTTTAGGGGAAACTACATAAAAGATTAGATCATGTATAAAACACGATGTTATTATAAGATTACTTTTAATCTTAAGATTTTAAAAGCTTCTGAGCAATGATAAAGTTTGTAATAAATCCGGTACTTATTCAATTCAAACAAAGGAAACATTGATGTTTCCTTGATTTCTCTTAGAAGTGCTGGTTATCTTACGCTTTTTTTATAACATTTTTCCCCTGCTTCTAGATTTTTCAAATAATTTTGGAGGGTTCCTAACAGAGTCATTATTTTACACTTGGTACGATCATATCTTACAGCTATGCGAGCAAAGCACTAAACGATTTCTAACCTTATCCTATGTTAGATATAAAAGAAGTCTTGCTAACAGTTGTAAATGATGCAGAATGGAGAATATTGAGTTTAAATGATAGCTATTTTTTTATTTTCGTAAGTTAAGTGATGTTGCAATGATTAAGGAAGCTTGATGCTAGCTAATTTGTTTCAGGTTTCCTGGCAGATAGTCTTATCCTCAGCGCATACAGAATAATTCAGAATAAAGTATATGAACATGTGTTTAACAAATATATCCTAAAAAACTTCATATCATAATAATAAACTTGACAAGCGGTACAATATAACTGATTAAACAGATGCAATAATTATATTATTCCAATTACTTCACTTCATATAATGAAATTAAACATTCTCACAAAACCAACTCCAAAATCCTGTTGACATTCAATAAATATCATATTCATATTGAGAATTTTTAAATTGTTACCTAATAATTCATTTGGGAGATTTTGTAGAAAAAAAAGTTTTCATTTTCATTTAACAAGATTCAATTACTAAATTTACACAGAAAAAGAAAACAGATAACAATAATGTAGATAACTTACTGAATCAATAAGTGTTGAATCCTTTGAAATATTTGTGATAAGCTCTTTTAAATGATTTAGTTTCGATTCATTAGTAGCATAATTTTTATATATTTCATTCCATAATATTGGTTGAATAAATAATGGATTGATTGTTGATTGAGGATTTGTTATTTGAAAGATACATTCAAATGAGTTGGTTGCGTCTGATGATGATGATGAGGTTATCGGTGGTATATGTAATAAATGATAAAATGGTAAAGATCGATTCTGTGATGTTGATGATAATGATATTGACAAGGGAATATTGTCGATTGTACAAAATGTCATATGTTTCATTGATACATTATTCATGGGAACTTTTTGTGTATTCACTAGAAGTGGCCACATAAATTGACCATATAAATCACTAAAAAATGTTACATTTTCATGAGACAATTCATAACTGATAGTTGTTAAGATATTTTTGGTTTTATTCGGATTGTATAAAGTAGTATCTTCATTTATTGAGATTTTCAACCATTGATTATATAATTCATTGTATAATTTGAATGTTTCTTCGATTAATAAATGATTTAGAGATGATTGATGAATGATTTCATCGGTAGATTGATTAACATTTCCCTTAACACCTCTCAACCATAACATACCTGTTTACACGATAAATAAAGAAAATCGAAAAAAAAGAGAGGATTGAGTGAAAGTAAACAATCAGTGAGTATGATTAATGAAATAGACGTATGTCATACAAGAAGACAATCATTTATGTCTATGATAATATATGATAGTAAAGTTGAAGCATACATTAATGATTAGAAAAATCTTAGCCCATATATATATATATATATATATATATATATATATATATATATATATAGCGTTTTTTGGCAAGTTAGTTTATAGTTGGGATGGGGGCGCCAACCACTCCTCCATTATCCGGGCTTGGGACCGGCAGTAGCCCGGTATATATATATATATATATAGGACACTATCGCTTGTTTAGTTTTTTTTCTTAAAGTAGACGATATGGGAGGTAGAATGCTTATTTTTAAAAATAGGTCAGTCAGATGTAGCGCAGAACTTGGTAAGTACGGTACACCAATTCTTGTACGTACTAACTATAAGAACCAATAAAAATTATAAATATATATATGATGATAAAAGTCTAATATAACTTTATTGTAACATTACAAACAATCTTAGCATACTGGATATCATCACATTCTGATGATTTTTCGTGACAACTAGTAAAGCAGAGCTTAGAATACATGCTTCTTATTAAGTGAATACATTGGCACCTGAAATGTTGGAATTCCTGTGGGGTATCTGTTAGATTAAACATTAATATTACTGAGAGAAAAATAGGATAACAAACATTTATGTTAATAAGCTTGATTGATGATCACATAGAAAACAGGGGAATATCACATTTTCTGGGTCTAAAAATAGATAAATCTAGCAAGATAAGGTATTGTAGTTTTTTTGGAAGTGAAGTGGTTGATGGAAGTCATTAGGAGCCTTTTACACTTAGAAAAAGAAACCAAACAATAGAATAATATATTGTTTTTTATTTAAGATAACAGTGTATACAAATGAAAGAAATCTTATAGACCTTATTATTAGACAATTAGACAATTTTGGCGTATAATTCTTAATAATGAAGACAGATAAATCTTTGAAGTTGTCATTTAGTTGAGAAATCTGTTATGTATGACGACCTGCTGCTTATCCTGATAGTTGATCGGAAAAACATACTAACTTAGAAGAAAGTACAAATTTATCGATTCACTAACGATCTACTTAATTTCTGTAAAGTGCCTTTATGAAATTGAAGAAGAGCATCAGAGCTGACAAACGAAAATATGTGGAAGATCTAGCAACGAGGGCGGAAAAGGCTGCAAGAGACGGAAACTTGAGACAATTGTACGAAACTACAAAGAAGCTCGCCAGGAACTATCGTAAACCAGAACGACCAGTGAAAAGCAAGGAAGGCAAAGTAATCAGCAACACTGAACAACAGCGAAATAGGTGGGTAGAGCACTTTAAGGAACTATTGAATCGACCAGCTCCACTGAACCCACCCAACATCGAAGCAGCATCCACAAACCTCCCAATTAATATTGGCGCACCTACGATTGAGGAGATCAGTATGGCCATCAGACAAATCAAGAACGGCAAAGCAGCAGGACCAGACAACATTCCAGCAGAGGCAATGAAAGATGTAGAAGCAACTGCGAAAATATTTCACATTCTCTTCAAGAAGATTTGGGATGAGGAACAAGTACCATCAGATTGGAAAGAAGGATACCTCATCAAAATACCAAAGAAAGGCGATCTGAGCAAGTGTGAGAACTACACCGGCATCACTCTTCTTTCAATACCAGGCAAAGTCTTCAACAGGGTATTGTTAAACAGAATGAAGGACTTCGTAGACGCCCAACTTCGAGATCAACAGGCCGGATTTCAGAAGGATCGATCGTGTACTGACCAAATTGCTACATTACGGATCATTGTGGAACAATCAATTGAATGGAACTCACCACTCTACATCAACTTCATCGACTACGAGAAAGCATTCGATAGCGTGGACAGGAAAACACTGTGGACTCTTCTTCGACACTACGGGGTGCCTGAGAAAATAGTTAACATCATACGGAACTCTTATGATGGATTCAACTGCAAAATAGTGCACGGAGGACAGCTAACCGAATCTTTCGAGGTGAAGACCGGTGTCAGGCAAGGTTGCTTACTCTCACCCCTTCTCTTTCTCCTGGTCATCGACTGGATTATGAAAACGTCAACAGCTGGAGGGAAGCACGGTATCAACTGGACAGTTAGGACGCAGCTGGACGATCTGGACTTCGCAGATGATCTGGCTCTTCTATCGCACACTCAACAACAAATGCAAGAGAAGACGACGAGTGTAGCAGCAGCCTCTGCAGCAGTAGGTCTCAACATACATAAAGGAAAGAGCAAAATTCTCCGATGCAACACAACATGCACCAACCAAATCACTCTTGATGGAGATGCCTTGGAGGACATTAACACCTTTACATATCTGGGCAGCATCATCGACAATCAAGGTGGATCCGATGCAGATGTGAGGGCACGGATTGGCAAAGCAAGGGCTGCATTTCTACAGTTGAAAAATATCTGGAACTCCAAACAACTTTCAAACAAAACCAAAATCAGGATTTTCAATACAAATGTCAAGACAGTTCTACTATATGGAGCGGAAACATGGAGAACTACCGAAGCCATCATCCAGAGGATACAAGTGTTTATTAACAACTGTCTACGTAAAATACTTCGTATTCGTTGGCCAGACACCATCAGCAACAACGAACTGTGGGAGAGAACAAATCAGATTCCAGTGGAGGAGGAAATCAGGAAGAAGCGGTGGAAGTGGATAGGACACACATTGCGGAAAGCACCTAGCTGCGTCACGAGAAGAGCCCTCACATGGAACCCTCAAGGCAAAAGGAAAAGAGGAAGGCCAAAAAATACATTACGCCGAGAAATAGAGAAAGATATGAGAGGAATGAACAAACATTGGACAGAACTGGAGAAAGAAGCCCAGGACAGAGTTGGTTGGAGAAAACTGGTGGGCGGCCTATGCTCCATTTGGGGTAACAGGCGTAAGTAAGTAAGTAAGCCTTTATGAAATCTTTTTGGATTTAGTAAGCACTCATTTGATAGTTTAAGGAACACACTAAACAATCACAAAAACAATTATGAATATTTGATCGTTATGGTTCTGTCTTTGACCTGCCTATTAATAACTAATTTTTGAATTTTTACCTACCAGTATTATTTCCCTCAAATGTAAAGAAGTACAATAAGTTAAGCCTTCTGACCATTCTAAAAAATGTTTTTAGTTTTTGATTCATTTTCAGTTATATGATAGTAATATTAGTATTGAGGTTTTGTGGAGATGATTAAATTTTCATAGTTCACATTATGAAGTGATTTCAGTTGGGGAAAACGAAAAACTAGGAGACAATAGACAGCTATTTCGTCCTAGTATGAGACTCCTCCAGAGTGTGCATTAACGACCTCCACACCAGGACCTTCTGTCCAGCATGTGAATGTCAAACCTTCAGAATACTGAGCCGGGATCTATTGGTGTAGATGTTTTACTTTAACCAATTAGTGATACTACATGATCTCTGGTGGGGTCGGTGATAATTTAGAAGTAAAGGGTTACCCAGTCTAATATTTATGAATCAAACACTTATCCCATAATAAAAAAATGAACAAATCTATAATTCTGTATAGTTTCAACTGGTGTTAATTTGATTATAATTTATTTACTCTGAAGACGTGGTTTACTCTAAGTCAAGAAACGTTGGAAATTCTAATTTATCTTCACTATGACATTGCAAATACAACGTTATATCACTATGATCAGGCGTTGAGTTTATTGTTCATAAATATAAAACTAGGCTGAGTGAAACAACATATCCTTACGTAATTGAATTCCTTAAATTTAAACAAAATCAATAACTAGAGAGTAAATAAATTTATTTAATTACACTATTTCCAATATAATTTGGTTGGTCCATCGATTCTAGTATTAGAGAATTAGTCTAAATCATGACCTAGGGATTTATTTCAACTTTCACAAATATTTATAAAATCAAATCAAAACGTGTAAGATAAAATAATTATGAATCATTAATCAAATTATACTAAACATGAAAAGGTCAGTAAAAATTTATTTGATTGAACTTTTGACTGATTTATTACATATACTTTACAAAAGTTCCTAAATTACATCTTGTTTATATCGATGGAACGAAATCGAAAATTGAATAATGAACTATTGAACTTTTAATTTTAATTTATTGATAAAATCATCTGAATATATAAATGCACACGTTTAATACCTATTATACGACACTGGATATTGTATAAATGACATGAACGTATTCGAATCTGTTAAGGATTCGTATCACTTCAAATTGTCACATCTCACAATATCACACAACGAAAGGAAAAAAAATAAGATCAATAATAAAGATAGTAGGAATTCTAACATATTAATTTCAACGGAAAGGTAAACAAATGAAATATGTTTGAAATCATCAATCAGTCATTGTTAGACCACCATTAGAAACCTGGAAGCACTGGACGGCCGTTTCGAACTGGTATGGGACTCATCAGCAGTGGTCACCCATGACTCCTGCACCTCACAGGATTCGAACAAGGGACCTTCGGTATTGTGCGCGAACGCCAAACCATCGGACCACTGGGCCGGCACCCAACGGTGTTAATGTCTAACTCTGATTGATCTAGGGATTACGCGCGACCTCACCCATTTGTCTTTGGTAGTTACTGCCTACACCTGACAAGGTCGAACTCCACTGGTGGATGCGCACTGCTGATGAGTCCCATACCAGGACGAAGCGGCCGTCCAGTGCTTCCAGGTTTCTAATGGTGGTCTAACAATGATTGATTGATGATTTCAAATGTGTAAAAACACAAATCTCCAAAACTTTAACTGAAAATGAAGTATAATTTGAAAGGAATAATTAAACCAAAGAATAATAAGGATGAAATGACTAAAGCAAGTCCAATTAAAATGCAGCAGAATAACATGAATTAATTTAATGCTGTGGTGTCTCATCAGGTGGCTGTAATTTAAACAATATATATATATATATATATATATATATATATGCATCATTAAACATCAATGTACCTACTTAATATATCATAATGTCAGAATAGATTTCTTCAGTGAAAGTTAAAAGCAGTGTAATGAGGACTAAAAGATATACATATATATATATACATTACGGGGTTGTGAAGATTGTTAAGTTACACATTTTTGAAACCATGAACCGATCAATGTTAGACCACCATTAGAAACCTGGAAGCACTGGACGGCCGTTTCGTCCTGGTATGGGACTCCTCAGCAGTGCGCATCCACGACTCCTGCACCCCGCAGGATTCGAACCCAGGACCTTCGGTATTGTGCGCGAACGCCCTAACCGATAGACCACTGAGCCTGTGCTCACTAGTGACTAGCTTCGTGAGGAATCTTCTCCGAGTTCTAGTGGGAAGACGTGACCAGTGAAGTTCAACCTGTTCGGGTGTAGACAGTAACTACCGAAGACTGTGTATGAGGTTGCGCAACTCCGTGAATTTGATCAAGTTAGACATTAACACCGTTAGATACCGGCTCAGTGGTCTATCGGTTAGGGCGTTCGCGCACAATACCGAAGGTCCTGGGTTCGAATCCTGCGGGGTGCAGGAGTCGTGGATGTGCACTGCCGAGGAGTCCCATACCAGGACGGAACGGCCGTCCAGTGCTTCCAGGTTTCTAATGGTGGTCTAACATTGATCGGTTCATGGTTTCGAAAAATATATATATATGTTAAATAATGTGAACATTTATACGTTGGATGTAAGATAAAGTAAATTATTCATAAATAATATTCTATTAGTGTTATAGTTATGTAGCTCAAAATAAAATTAGATAACTGAGTACAGATCAAATAAGGATTGAGAATGAATAATTAGAGTCATAGAACGAAAAAATTACTTAGCAAATACTTATGAATGAGGTCACCATAGCAGAGGAAGAATATCAACTGACTTTTTGAATGCATGTACATCGGAAGAACAGAAAAGAGGGTTAATGTCCGAATATGTTGCAGAAAAAAAGCAACACAGTCATAATACTAACTGACAAAAGACAAAGTGTAAGATATGAAGAAGGATGAACACTTGATGAAAGCTAATGATATACATCAATCTTTAACAATAAATTCTTGTAAAACGTTTAGACAGACAAATAACAGAATAGAATCAATAGTCAACGAAGATTAGTTGTCCTATTCTTCATCGACTCCATGGAAAACGGAAGCTACTTAAACTAAATTCCTCTTTACGATCAGTTGTATCACCACTAGTCGTAGAGGCTTATAATTTATCTACGGAAATTTAGAATGTACTAAAGTGTCTAAATGAACAGTATGAAAATTTCATTAGCTTTCCAACAAAAATCTTAGGTAAGACAAAAATCCTACAACTAAACAACTTCAAAACCATGATATTCTTCAACGTTTAGGTTTTGTCCACTTCAATATCACGTCTGCCTAGAAATGATGAGAAGCTGTCAAAACAGATAACAGTGTGATGTCCGAGTTGGTTATAACTTATCCATTTGTATTTTACAGCATAATTTCAATTTAATAGTTACGTATTATAAATAGATTAAAAGAACTGTAATGGGCTAGATATGGGGTGTGAGAAATGCACATCTGAACCAAAAAAATTGTGTGAATGTTTATAAGCTTGTTAATCGACTTATCATTTAAACCTAGTACCCTATCATAACCTCATCATTATCCACTTAATAGGATATATTTCGCAATCATACATTTTAGAAAACTGGCTCCACCCATTGAATGAAGTAATCGAAGATAAGTATTAAAGTTGAGTGTGGTTAAGCATTGAAATGAAACTTCTGGATAAGAAAAAATGTTTTTTTCATTTAAATAATCATCCAGTCAGTTGCTCGCTAGTTCTGTGTTCATGATATCTATTTACAGCTATCATTTGAATGTTATTTCAGTACAGAACTAATGACTACTTCGGTGATTCCCGAATAAAATGAGACGCACACCTCCAATTCGGTGTTTAGGGAATGTCGGGGACAGTACTAGTGAATTTATGCCCTAAGTTTTTATTACGAGATAAATCATTAGTTTGACTCGTGCATTTTAGGAGTGCATGGAATGTGTGTTTGCAAAACAAAAACGGATAAGGGGAGTTGTTTGTGCTCATACGTATGTAGGTCTTGATCAAAAGAGTGACGCCCATCGCATCATCTCAAATCATAGCAAGTACCTTAGAAAGTGAGCGGATAACACCTACCACTTATAATACAGCATTTATGGATTTGTACATGCTAAGGAATGTAAAAACCCCAGAGGTGTTCTTCTTGGTGTGTACTTAATGTAGATTTGCTAAAAAAGAGTAGCGTCCATCTGATCCTCGAAACAGTAGCAAATTTACACACAGTGCCTCCCTTGGAGTTTCAATATAGAATGGTTCTCCACTGAGAATATATATTCCATCCCGGGTATATGTATGACTTGAATAAATAAAACATTATTCAGATAAGTCTACTGGCTTCTTCTAATGGCTGGAACAGGTTACTGACTTCCCAGTATCATATAATATGTTCTAAGGATCTTAAAATTTATTGTGAAAATGTATAAATTATGTTTATTGTCCAATAAACACAGAATTTGAATAAATAGTTTACATACCTAAAGCAGTGTTCAAATTAAATCCACAATAACAAAATGGTTTAATCGTACCAATAGAATTAACTGCAGCTGAATTAATAGTTTTAGTTTTAGTACTAGTGGTAGTAGTAGTAGTGATTGTTGTCGATATTGCATCATATTGTTCACTATCTTCAAATATATCAATACAACTAACAGATGGATTAAAATAAGCAACTCCAATTACACTAGATTGATTTACTGCAATATGAATTGGTTGTAATGAATAAGATGAATTTGTACCACTGATAGTCATCATTCGTCTAATTTTATAAAATTGAATAGTATCAAATGAAAATATTTTGTCAAAATAATCTGACGAAGATGCAATAACAGGATGTAAGCTTATGTCAGCAATATTGATATCCGTAGGATATGCATTACGGACGATAATTCTATGCTGTTCAAGTTTACCCTAATAAAAGAGAAAATAAATAAAACAAAAAAAAATCAAAAAGTAAAATTATTATTGGATATTGAGATGAGCTTAAATTGAAAGAGGTGGTTATTACAGATTCATATAAATTGAGATACTATTGGAAAACAGAGAGCAATGGGAAGTTGCTGCTGAGTTGAAGTAGGGGAAACACTCAGCAACACGCATATAAAGCCAAGCCAGGTAAACAGCGGTCAAGTGTTACCCGATGGAGATTATCTTGCAATGAGTACTACCACCAGACAAAAATTGGGTCATACGAATTATGATAATTTGAAAGGAAAAACACCGCCAAAACAAATTGTGATGATTGGTGTTACATCAAAATGTTGAGTAATCCCCGAGATGGATACAAACAAATAGATCTGGTTTAATTCTGTTTGTACACGCATGATTTCGTATGGATATATGTAGAAGTATTTGAATAGATGGTCATGGTATATGAGTACCCCAGTAAAGATAGACTCTTCAATGTTACAATGTTCAATGTTTACATTAGTTTATGATAATATCGGTAATTTGCATAAACTGTATGAAAAAGTAGTTTAATCTAGATTATTAAATATTTATAAATCTGAAAATAAATAAATTATATTGGATTAAACATGTAAATTTCATTGGCAAGTAGTGTGATCAGTGAAATTATCAAATATGAGATGCCATTATTTTAAATTAATCTATCCCTTATACATAAATATAACTTTTGTCAGTGTTGGGGATGTTAGATCCCCAGAACTCGCTTGATAAATATCTTTATTTTGGATTTATTTCATAGACCGATCAGTAGACCTTGAGACCACATTTCCTAACTGGAAAATACTTAGCTGTGATTGGTTACTGTGTCATTTTAGTGTGCTATTTTTGTGACCGTCCCAAGGACGTCTCTATAGAGTATAAATAAACGCAAATTGAGTGCTTGGACTCATTGTGTGCAGGCTGGGTGTTTGTAGAATACAATTTCTACACTATATCAAGACTTCTTGCTGATTCAATTTGGTCAAGAGATCACAGTAGCCTACCTGGACGCTGGTTTATTGTTTTGTTCTCGTTATTCGACTAAGGTGAACTCGTAATAGTTTAAGCATACCTAGAGACGAGCGTAACAGTCGGACTTTTTATAGTCTTCCCTAGTAATTCTCTGTCTTCCGGATAGGGTGAATTTATATTACATATTATAAGACAGATAGTTTCCTAATTATTATATGTTCGGCTATGATAGTTATAAAAGTATTATGCACAATAATGTCAAAGTTCTATTTAGTGTTCCCAATAAGCGTCCAACTGCATACATATCTTAGTTATTAAACTTGGCCTACTTATAAGTAGTTTATCGTTTTCATCACATTTCAACAGGTAGTTGTTGTAAGCGCCCAAGTATTAGTTAAATCAAACAGTGAATGACTAGTTGAATAGATAAAAAGATCACAAGAATTATGAATGATGATACTTGTTAAACATAATAAAAGTGCTTACAGGAAATAAATTATTGACAATCAGTGGATTGGGTGTCACACTAATAAGGCCACGTGTTACAAAATATTCAAATTGTTGTTCAATTACCTGAAAATCAAATTTGTTAGAAAAAAGAAAAGAAAAAGGAAGTAAATAAATGAACAATAATCAGTAAGCAAAATAATTTGTCATCACAAATAAACAATGCTTATACTTGTATGCAATTCTACCAGACAATTTATTTATTGAGCAAAGACAGAACCAAACTACAGTAAAATATGTATTTAAAAAAAAAACAATTTATTAAGTGACTGAAGGTATTCAGTTCATACCACAGGCTACAGTAAATTATTTAGGCTAAACTGAAACGTGGTTGATCGAATCGCATCACTGGTACGATTAGGTGAACATAAACTTAGTCACTAATCAAAATAAAAAGTACTTTTCAAAAACGACTAGTCTATATAGTAGTATATAATCAATAATTGTAGCACACCATTTCGGAATTTGATTGTGAAAGAATTGAACCTCACGAAAATTCATCATTCAATGGTATAATAAATAGCATTTAAGCAATTTGAGTGGTAGCGATAACTTTTTTCAGTTTCATCGAAGCGCGCTAATAATAATACTTAATGCGATGTAGAAATTTTTTTCACAACTGATGAGTTTTCAATAAAACAAATTAGATATTATGGATTTTATTAGTTATTTAATTATAAAATTGGATACACGATTCGGTTGATAAATAAATATAGTTAAGTAGCTATATACAATGTGATATCAGAGAAAATATTGAATGAATGATTTTACTGTTCTCATTGCAAAATGTAAAGCCAACTATCGATTTTCCAACGAATACATTTGAATAAGATAATTTTCTATTTTCAATCGATGAGAAAGAGTTGTTTCTCTCCATGAATTAGAGTAAAAGCGAGTTTATGTTAAAAACTTCAGAACTTTTTAATGATTTTGACGAATGGTATGATAGGAAAGAAAACTGAAACGAATGATTAATTTTTATGTCCTGTCTGAAATTAAAAAAAAACTCTTAAATTATAAATTTCGTAAACACTTATCCACCATTAAAAAACATATCGAAATACAAAAGTATCTACAACATTAACATACATGTAAATGGTTTTTGAGTAAGATTGATTTGCTTTTATACGAATGAGTTTATGTGTAATGAAAATGTAACGAGTTGCAAGTAGAAAATGATAGTATTCACACTATCAAGGTCATCCGAACTATCACTCAAGGCCGATGAAATCGTATGATTCCATGCCGATACTACTACTACTACTGTAAGCGATAATGCAATCAATGAATGACTTAGGTAATTTAAATTTCTGTAGAAAGAAAAAAAAAGCCGTATTGTATACTGAATAATTCTAGACAGAAAATATTGAACATTTTGGATAACTAAGTTTATTTATCGTAGAATATGAATACATTTTACTGAGTTTCAATATATAGTCTTTTATGCATTCATTATCTAGCTATGTAAAATTATTATATGATAGATAAGAAGTAAATTTCTATTTCCAAAGTTGGTCATTTTCAATGATGATGTAATTAAAATTTTGTTTATATATATATACTTTGATTAAATAAAAGGACTAACAAAGAAATGTAAATAATAATAATAATAATAATAATAATAATATGAGCACAGTATGTAATTTGCATACACTACTCTTATTTATATGATAAGGAATGTGTGTACTTGCACACACATACACACAAATATATGCACCAAAAAAAATGAGTTAAGTATGCGGTCATCTGAAAATAATGTAAAGTTTTGTGTAGTCACTTTTTTCTTCTTCTTCTCTTTCAAAGTGTATAGTTAGTTGGTGAAGTAGAAAAACACACAATCAACCATATTTATATAAACTATGATTACTGAAAGATGATTTGTCCTGTAAACTATACATTTGTAAAGAATATATTGAGTAAAATCAATCAGAAATTTGAATAGATACGAAGATAATTTCATTAGGAATTCTGGAACACGGAAGATAAAATAGTTACGTTGGATAAAGTTGAACTATACCACACCAAAATCAATGGTATACAAACAAATAGTTTCAAGTTCATTGAGGCTATTTTCATTAATATGACTTCTAATGAAGATAAATTAGATGAAGTTGTAGATGAATTAATTTATGCCACATGGATGTATTGTGAAAAGTTTTGCAATGATGAAAGTACTAAACTTAATTAAAAACCGATCGATTGTTGAGAAACACAATGATTTGTGAACAACGATATAAGATGAGTTTATATGACTATGAACTTATTGGAGGTAAAATTATATCTGAATGCTATGTCTGCTGGTTGGTCTAAAAAAGCCATTACAACCGGTTTACTTTACATTCATTCTAAGTTAGTTTTGGGAAAAACAATGTTTGTATTCGATTATTGAATAAATGTAACAGTTATTACAGTAGCTACAAGGCTTATAATAATTTTTAATAAGTCAACTATGCTATGACATGAAAACTGTAGGGGAATTTGTTCGGCGAATATAATACAAGAGTCCGTTCTGAGCTCGGATACTACCACAATATTGTTGTTCACGAACGTTACTTTGTAGACTGTTGTACAGCGGTGCAAACAATGATGTTGAAGCTCTGTGTAAGTCGCCTAAAGTACTAATTACGATTCCACCAAAGGTTCCTAAGGCGAGCTACTACTACTACTACAGTGAATTCTTGCTTATTTCACTACAGGATATCGTTTCGAAAACTGAAAGAGGTTTATCAATGACATGAAATTGATATATTCGATTAAAAATCTCTTTCTTTCTAAATAATAAATCATTCATTTCTTGTAATTGTCTTTTGACTAACCAAAAACGGTTTAACATATCAAGGTTATTCGACAGTATAACTCAATCCTACCATATTTTTTGGTGTCTGTATGTGTGAGGAGGGAGGAAACAATTACTTATTAGTTTGTTTAAAACAAAGATAATATTTTGATGTAGAAACACAAGAATTGCACTAAAAAATATTTTAGATAATAAAAATTAGAAGAATTCCATGTATAAAAATTTCATAAACAATTTATGACCTCATTTATTCAAACAAGATAATAATATTAGTAAATATGATCAAAGAAAAATACATTAGATAACTATGAAACTTAAATGAATTGACTAAGAATATTAACAAACCTAAGTGAACAATATCATTTGATTTATTTCCAATAATTTCAAGTTTATCATGTTCGTTATTGAAAATTTTTAGTTTTATATTTTATATAAGATGATAGATGTGTTTTTTTTATTGACCAGATAACTTTGTCACTCTACTAGACATTGGTAACCACATTGTATGAATAAAGTTGAAATTAGTTCATTGAAACATGATAAAATAAATCATGAAAAAGTTTTAGAAAAATAATTGAAATCAGTCACTATTTTTTATGATTATACATTATTATTTTGCAAAACCAAAACATGGCACATATCCATGACATCATTGACAAGTGAACTGAATCATATGTTGGTAGATGTAGGCCAACCTGGTTGGTGTCCACCAAAAGACGAAAGTAACCGATGGTTAGGGACCTTGAACCACATGGCTCAAAATCGTTTGCAATGGCACAGAGCATCTACTCTTTGTGTTCGCTCAAATTCTAACTTTCTGAATTCCTTATCATCTCTATTTTTCTCTTTCTACATTTATCTCACTGAATTATATTTAACGAATAGTATTTTCGGACCCTAATACTCTCCATTACCAATAAAACTTCTACTATCTCTACCACTATGGGGTTTGAACTGACAATCGCATTTCAGAGCTAAAGTGGTATGACAACGTCAACTGAAGTACGTACCCACGAAGTTCTACACTATAACTGACTGACTGCCTGACTGATTATACATTATTTAATTATTCTATAAGCTGTTAAATTAATTGATTGGGTAGTTTTATTTTTAAAAAATCTGATCGATAATTTTTAATAGAACATACTAATAATTGTTACTTATCATTTTTGAACAATAAAAAGTAAACAGAAAATAGGTGAAAAAAATCTATTCTCAATGGATACGAACTAATTTCTTTTGAAAATGGGATGTATTTTGATTAGTTTGATTAATTAAAAACCGATCGATTGTTGAGAAACACAATGATTTGTGAACAACGATATAAGATGAGTTTATATGACTATGAACTTATTGGAGGTAAAATTATATCTGAATGCTATGTCTGCTGGTTGGTCTAAAAAAGCCATTACAACCGGTTTACTTTACATTCATTCTAAGTTAGTTTTGGGAAAAACAATGTTTGTATTCGATTATTGAATAAATGTAACAGTTATTACAGTAGCTACAAGGCTTATAATAATTTTTAATAAGTCAACTATGCTATGACATGAAAACTGTAGGGGAATTTGTTCGGCGAATATAATACAAGAGTCCGTTCTGAGCTCGGATACTACCACAATATTGTTGTTCACGAACGTTACTTTGTAGACTGTTGTACAGCGGTGCAAACAATGATGTTGAAGCTCTGTGTAAGTCGCCTAAAGTACTAATTACGATTCCACCAAAGGTTCCTAAGGCGAGCTACTACTACTACTACAGTGAATTCTTGCTTATTTCACTACAGGATATCGTTTCGAAAACTGAAAGAGGTTTATCAATGACATGAAATTGATATATTCGATTAAAAATCTCTTTCTTTCTAAATAATAAATCATTCAATTCTTGTAATTGTCTTTTGACTAACCAAAAACGGTTTAACATATCAAGGTTATTCGACAGTATAACTCAATCCTACCATATTTTTTGGTGTCTGTATGTGTGAGGAGGGAGGAAATAATTACTTATTAGTTTGTTTAAAACAAAGATAATATTTTGATGTAGAAACACAAGAATTGCACTAAAAAATATTTTAGATAATAAAAATTAGAAGAATTCCATGTATAAAAATTTCATAAACAATTTATGACCTCATTTATTCAAACAAGATAATAATATTAGTAAATATGATCAAAGAAAAATACATTAGATAACTATGAAACTTAAATGAATTGACTAAGAATATTAACAAACCTAAGTGAACAATATCATTTGATTTATTTCCAATAATTTCAAGTTTATCATGTTCGTTATTGAAAATTTTTAGTTTTATATTTTATATAAGATGATAGATGTGTTTTTTTTTATTGACCAGATAACTTTGTCACTCTACTAGACATTGGTAACCACATTGTATGAATAAAGTTGAAATTAGTTCATTGAAACATGATAAAATAAATCATGAAAAAGTTTTAGAAAAATAATTGAAATCAGTCACTATTTTTTATGATTATACATTATTATTTTGCAAAACCAAAACATGGCACATATCCATGACATCATTGACAAGTGAACTGAATCATATGTTGGTAGATGTAGGCCAACCTGGTTGGTGTCCACCAAAAGACGAAAGTAACCGATGGTTAGGGACCTTGAACCACATGGCTCAAAATCGTTTGCAATGGCACAGAGCATCTACTCTTTGTGTTCGCTCAAATTCTAACTTTCTGAATTCCTTATCATCTCTATTTTTCTCTTTCTACATTTATCTCACTGAATTATACTTAACGAATAGTATTTTCGGACCCTAATACTCTCCATTACCAATAAAACTTCTACTATCTCTACCACTATGGGGTTTGAACTGACAATCGCATTTCAGAGCTAAAGTGGTATGACAACGTCAACTGAAGTACGTACCCACGAAGTTCTACACTATAACTGACTGACTGCCTGACTGATTATACATTATTTAATTATTCTATAAGCTGTTAAATTAATTGATTGGGTAGTTTTATTTTTAAAAAATCTGATCGATAATTTTTAATAGAACATACTAATAATTGTTACTTATCATTTTTGAACAATAAAAAGTAAACAGAAAATAGGTGAAAAAAATCTATTCTCAATGGATACGAACTAATTTCTTTTGAAAATGGGATGTATTTTGATTAGTTGAGTTGTTTACGTATTCATTTATGCAGGTTTATTATTATTATGATAAACGTGAAAACTTTACTATATACACCCTAAAAGAATGTGAAATTTCATTAGAAGTTTGAATGATTTTCATGCGAAAAAGCATATATATATATATATATATATATATATATATATATATATATATATATATATATAATGTATAATTAAATGTACAATAGAGAAATAATGAAAATGAAAATGAAAAGTGAAAAAGGGCTTACTGTATATTTTGTCTGAACTTGTATAAATCCTTTAATATGTTGAGCAACATTTTCACTACCCCATGAAAATGGGATATTAACTTCGGATAAGGGTTCGATTTCAGTCTAAAATAAAAGTAAGAACTAATTGAATAGTGATAACAATAACTAAGATTTGAATAAAACATATTTAAACTCTCAATATAATGTTTTCTTATCGGTTTAACGTAGTATAATTATTTCAATTTTTTTAAATTGATTTATAAACTTGAAAAGTAGACACGTTGTGATAATCTGGTTTAGTGTATTATTATTATTGTATACCGCCAGTCTTCTAACGTAAATTTCCAAATATGAATAAATCATCATATCATATCATATCAACAATCAATAATTCTTGATATAGAACTGCCCTGAGAAAGTCATACAATAATGATAGTATGAGTCAATCAGAGATCCAGAGTTGTTTAAATGAACAAGAATGTGAATATGATCGGCAAATGGTAAGAATTTCATGAGATTCCAGTAAGGCGAAAACAACTGAATGTTGACAACATCATTTGAAGGAACTGACTGACTACAAAATTAACATCACTTATTCATTTCAGAAATCTCTCCCATTGTTCATATTATTGAGATGAAATTTACATTACCACACATATAACTTGTTAGTTAAGACAGATATTAGAATGAATCAATAAAAAGTTATAGTCTCAATTTCTTTAAATATCTCTTATTTGGTTTTTATAGAGTAGTATTAGTGTAGACAAAATAAAACACGATCTAATTATGATGTTATTAAACAAACAAGAAAGTGTCATTATGAATGAAATGAATGATAGACGGCAGAGTAACCTGTAAGTAGCTTGTAATGAGACACACCAAAACAATGAATAAATTGGAAATTCTCGATATTCAACAATCGGAAAAGAATTCAATATATGACATTTGCAAATGATGAGATATTTCGGTGAAAATTGTAGTGTACAAAAGTGCTGTCTCTATTAACTAGATGAATCATGTTCATGTTGACTTCATTCATACTAAGATGTTCAAGCTATTTTCAAGTGTACCTTTTATCTTTCATACTTTTATGAGATTAAAAAAATAGATAGGAAGAAATATAGGAATGAATTTTTATAGATTACACTGAAATCTAATATTTGTAAAAGAATGAAAATTTACTATAATTGTAAAGAATTTTATGATCACATGATGTTGAACAGATATCTTTCGATTATGCGACATGACAAAGCAAACCGATACCGAGACTATTGATTCTGTTGATATTAGTTTTAGAAGAATTAATAATTAAATACTCACAGAATAAACGGTGTAACTCAGTCAGTCAGATGCAACGTAGAACTTCGTATGTAAGTACACATCAGTTCAAGTTGCCATACCACATTAGCACAGAGATATAATTGTCAATTCAAATCCAATAGTAGTAGAGGTAGTAAAGGTATTAGCAGTAGTCGGAGAGGTTAGAATTAGAAGATATTATTCAAGAAGTATAATGCAGTGAGATAAGTTTAGAAAGACAAAGCTAGAGGTGTTAAAGAATTCAGAAGATTAGGTGTAATTAGAAAGATAGGATAACTTAATTAACTTTTACTATGATAACTATAGATTATTTTAATGAAACTGTAGTGTTAGTTTTTAAATTTTTATGATATGCTAAAAGAATTATTCTTAACTTATTCATCTATTGACTATTTCATAGATTTTAATTGATGAGTTGACTAATAATAATAATAATAATAGTAAAATTAGTAATCATAATGATAGTGAGGTTAGCAGAAGTAGCCTCTACAACAGTAAAACTCAACATAAACAAGGCGGAAAGCAAGGTCTTCAGATAAAACAAAGAGAGCATATATGACTGAGGAACTCTGAAAGTGGTAGTTCTTACATAACTGAATAGCGTCACTAGTTAACCAGGAGGATCTGGCGCGCATATAATGTCAAGTATTGTGAATTATACTAGAAGATGCTTATAATCTGATTAGTAATTAATTTTATTGTGAACAAATTACACTAGATTATTGAAGTTCATATTTATCTTCTCAATAGATAACTACGCTAAGAAAGCAGATATAGTTGAATATTTTCGATTAGTAGAACACTCAATGTCGGCAATATGCATGCAAACTATTGCTTATCGATTCAAAATCATTACACATGAATGAAGTATTTTAAAAAAAAAGGTTAACAAACAATGTGTATTGAAAAATAATCTAGGATAACATATTAGAAAATTTAGGGTGGTATTCAGTTGTTGATAAGTTTCAACTTGAAATGTTATTTATTTAGTCTATGATAATTTTTAATAGGATCTATCACCTTTACGCTACCCTAATTTCTGATAAAAAAAAATAGCGAAAAAATTCAATAAATAACAATTATAATTTATTAAAAGTTCTCATGCATAAAGTTTCCCATACAATTTAGTCATGCTAATAAATAGAACACGCTAATAACGAATGACTTCATTAAGTAATGAAATATAAATTAGTCAGATCCCTTCTAACTGACTCTGAATTCTAGTCAATAATCTGTCTTAAAACAAGTGATAAGATGAAAACAGTAACACATGTGCTTATCATCTTAAAACGTGGTGTAGTGTGTACCAATATGTCGAGCCTACATGGATTGTCCCAGTCTTTGGATTAATTAATAAACATTTTCTCCCCGAGTTAATATTCACACTTCATTCGACCTTGTCAGTTATTCACTTATTATCTTCGTTGATTTTACTTCAGTGCTTTGTGTATTGCTTACTTCTCTTATCACATGTCTAGCTTATTTTTGTCTGACTGTAATACTAGTCATGCCGTATCACACCGAGTTGGCCCACTCGCACTCTATGCTCCGCATTCCATTGTCTGTCTGCTTAAGCGAATGTATCGAATAAATCCATTCACATAAAAGCGCCACAAGCTTTTAATTACTGCCATCACACAAACGGAGTTAGTCGAAATGTGATATACAGGAATCAAGAGGAAGATTTATTTCATAGCATATTCAATTGTTCCTACAAATTGGAGTGGAATCCTGGGGCAACAGAGTTGATGATTGTTCAGGCGAAAAGTACTTTTATTCGATTTCATTAAAAAGAGGTTGATTTTTGCAAGGACGAATAGAATATGGATCATGATATTGCAGAACCATTGTAAACAGACAGAAAACATTAAACGTGGCAAAAATATTTGATATTTCAGACAGCAACATTTAAATCAGTTAACATTTAGACAAAATACAAACAAAATAACAAGCGGAATTACAAAATAAATGTTAGTTAGTTTTTCCACTTACTAGCTGAATAGTACATTTTTCACATGGACCAGAAAGATGGCAAAATGCAGACTTGAATTTTATGGTCTCACATTTGTCATTATTATCAGACTCTGTATATATACTAACTGACACTGATCGAATCTGAAGGAAATAACATGATACACAAGCAAACAGAAATAATTAGAGTTATAAACAGTGCATATTATCACAAAAATTAAAACAGAAACCCCATATTAACAAAATGTCAAACCTCACCTTACCTCACGGATCTCTGTCTTAGGCAGTGAGGTCACTTGAAGAGCAGAGCTAACACTTTAAAAAGGTTCTATACAAGGACTGTGCAGTTGTCCCTCGGGCTCTTCGGTCACGCCCCCACATCGCTAAGACTAACACTAATCTACCTTCCTTTTCAGGCTCCTCAAGGAACACCGTTCCACGGAGTGGGCAGCCAGGAAGTGACATCCGCCCTCATACTCGTACCAGTACACACACATAGTCATAGTCAAATAATTTCTACACCTCTTGTTTAACCCTCTTACCTCTATGATTGAACCTACTCACATCACCTTATCACCCAGCACCGCTGATACAAACGATTCAAGTGCACGAAACGTTAATCCTGGTCTCCTGAAACCTGTCTCTAAACTACATGTTGGAGCTTTCAATATTCGAACCTTGTGTTCAATAGGACAACAGGCTTCCTTAGCTAGGACTTCAAAATCTCGCGCTAAATGTAAGTCACACTAAGTCGGAAATGGATGGGACTATTATTCATTCACAATCCAGAAGATTGGATTGATGGGCAGAACACTTCATGGATCAATTCAACTGGTCTTTAGGCACACTTCAGTTACCAAGCATCTCCAGTCAACATGAATGGCGAGTTGATGTTAGTCTTGCAACTCTCAATGAGGTTGAAAAGACCATAGGAAATCTAAGGCGAGTGGGAGGAGCAGACCTTGATAGATTAACTACTGAGATTTTTAAAGATGATGGTCCAATTTTAACAGTTTGATTTACCGAGATCTTAAGTAGGATCATAGGTGTCTTCGAAGCATTTCACCTATATCCTTGGACAATTGATTAAGCAATGCTGTCTTTAGGAAACGGGTACTAGGTAAGGATGGCAAATCAATTGATGAAGTAATGAATCTTCATCAGTTAAAGTAGTTGGAACATGTATTGTGTCATGCAGGAGTAATATGAAGCAAGATTCTTTTACTAGAGAACTGTTATTTCTCTTTGAGCTCACTTGTGACCGATTTCAAGATACATTTTCGATATTCTAGTTAAAAGATGCAGTTCAGTCCAACTAAACATTCATCGATTGGAGTTATCATGTGATAGTTCAGTTATTTTCTACCACTACAAGTCCAAAATTACTTCTTGTCAACTAAATCGAAAGATTTTCCAATGATTTAGTTGATTTAAGCGATAAGAGTTTGAAATGAAATCATTCTTATTTTGCTTCGAAGAAAAATAGGCATCAATATGTCGACATCTATAATTCCATCCAATAATTGTAGTTGAAACTTTTTGACAATATGAATTTTTATGACAATGAAAACAATCGAATGTAAAGACAATTCATCAAAATCAACTCATATGGATTAATCTTTTCGGTGTGCTCTATTCTACTTTGATGTTATTTATTAGGCTTTCAAACAGGTAACAATTGAATTTGTATCAGTTGATGAATTCAAATAGCTGTTTCGTTTTTTATATTGTCATTGCCGATTACTCGTTCACTCGATCAATATTAGTTTGAATCATGGCTTAATGAGTTTATTGATTACCTTGTATGGTTATGATGATTATTCTCTTTGTTTTATTACCTCTATTTGTTATACTAAAAGAAATTTTCTAATTTTTGAACATTGAATTCAATTAATTTGAATTCAGAAAAATATTCCAGTTTTTGAAACATTTTCTTCTCATCTTAGGAAAAAATAAATTCGAAAATTCATTAAAAACAATATTTTCATGTAGACTGGGAGCAGAGTATACTGTCAGATAAATGTTTTTTTCGCAATAATTCAGTTTTCATCGAATGATAGTGTTTTTTTTCTCTCCTATTTTTTCTATTTCAAAATCATAGAATAATGAAAAACATTAGGAGACGCGTAAATATTGTTATCTCATTATAATATATCAATTAAAATTTAACATAAAATACAATTCATTTACCGGTACAGGATTTTCATTGATAATCGTGACAGATTGATTACATATTTGACCAATTAATATTGTGCCTAATAAACAAGTATTCTTCAACCATCGTGAATCATGAATCAAAATCTTTATAGACATTGTGATTATTATTATTATTATTATTATTGGTGTTTGGAAGAAGAAAAAAAATATACATATAATTTGATGTGATTTAAAAAGAAAACATTTGTAAAACATTATATAATAACAATCAAAACATTAAATATATTCCGGTCAATATTGAATTGGTTTTCATTAGAATCGAATGATCATTTAAGGCTTAAATGAAACTGTTAATTAATCGATACATTTGAACAGATAAAGAACAAACATCATCATCATCACTACCTTTGCTATTTAAGTCGACATTATGTGCATAATGTGAATTAAAATGGTAGGCAAATAGGTAAATTGAAAATGACTTGAAATAAATTTCATTATTTATGCTTAATATGAAAATGTTCATTCATAAATTATATTTTTTTTAAAATTATTAGCTAAACACTATCAAATGCTCAAAATATTTGATGTGAAAAATTTATACACTACTTATATAAGAATAAATGTGAGTAGTTGAGAACAATGTATGGCATTGCGTTAATCGGAACGATGCATATCATACATATAAACACACATCCAGACAAACATAAATACACATAAATATCTTATTACCATAAAATTTTGGAAAAAAGGGTTAAGCTTTTTATTAATGAAACAAAATATTGGCTCATCAGTAGAGTGTTTTTTTTTGTAACCCGGCTATAACTACTACTAGTCTGTTGGTTTTGTCATCAAAAAAAAAAAAATCAGACAAGCATAAGACTCAGCATGAAGCAGCGGCATTCAATGTTATATCATGTGTTTATGACAAGACTAGTCGTCACTCATTCATTGTTTTGTAATAATAATAATAATAATAATAATAATAATAATAATAGTAATAATAATAATCATAACAGTGATTAAAAACAAAATCATACCACCACAACGTCTATTCATTAAGTTACATAGAAGATGTCACACCCTTCAAATAGTCACCAAGCCTCAAATCATTAACAGCGTGTAATAATTCAAGACAGATTGATTATTTGGAAAATTAATTAACATTGTTAGAAAATGATATCAGGCTATAAATGGAATGTTTGCGTAAACATGAATATATATATATATATATACGACTCTATCAACGCTTTAATTTGCTATACCGCATTAGCAAATTTGACCAGTTAATAAGCTAAATAAGTATGAATCTATTCAGATTTAATCAATAAGTCTATGCGCAATAAAAAAATTGTATTTCCTAAGATGGTGGTGAAGATTGGCAGCTCAGGTTGATGATTTCGATGAAGTTTCGTTCTTTGAGTTGGAAGCTTGTGCCGATGATTCTATTTAGAAAGGAATGAAAGCTCCACAGTTGAATTAATCATTCTACTAAGAGGACCGAAATTACATCAAAATGTTTGTTGTTAATATGTGGTTACTGTTTATCGTATTAATCAATAAATCTAATTGAATCAATGTAATCGAAGTTAATTTTCAACTAATAAAAGCATTTCACCAACATCAGCAAATGTTTTTTACTGACTAGGATCACAGCCAACATAAATTCCTGCAGACAATAATCAGTTCAATGAGTTTATATCAATGTAAAAAAAAATAGTAGACTAAAAGTTTTATTATAACCTATTTCTATATTTATCCGATATTGTGTGAATTCATTCATTTTGGAAATATGAAACTTAAAGTAACAAAGTTACACCTCAGAATCAATTCATGAAATCATTAACTGTCGGTTTAAACAATGTGCAATTTGATTTACTTGTATCCCATTGTTAGTGTTCATAATCGCATCACGCGACAACGGCTTATACGAATAAGAGGAACTATCGAGGCAATTCTCCCAGTACGTACATATACAACAAAAGAGGCTGGTTAATTGTAATCTTAAACATCGACAATGAGATAATACAAATTTTTATCAAATAAAAACATAACCACCGAGTAAGTTAGTGAATAGTGTATCGATGTTTGAAGCAATGCTGATCAAGAGGCTGGACTCCCAATATGAACATCGAGAACGGTACGCAATAGTTTTCAGTTAACGTGTCCCAAATAAGACGAAACAGTCATGTTGGATTTCATAATCTAATTTTACTGAAAAGCAAAACTTTTAGATGAAACGTTTAACTTTTTAGTTGACCATTTTATTAACACTATTTATGTAGTGAAGAGAATCCTTGACCGTATTTAGTGATCGGGCTTCCCTATAGTGATCACCCAACCGAGCTATATTGGCTGGAACATATGTTACTGTAGGTCCTACCATGCCAGGCAGGTCGATTGGAGAACGATGAGACTAAAAGCAGATACTCAAGATCTGAGGGCGAAGTCGTACTGCTGACGGCAGAGAGGTGTGACGGCAGTAAGGCGTTTCCCTCGGACAACCAGCATCTGCATTAACGCTGCCTTCTCATAAAGAAGGAAGGGTTAGAAAAGGTCGACCCTAAAGATGTCACAGCTCACCCTACCTCACGGATTTCCGTCTCCGGAGGTAAGGCCTTATAGAAAGAGCAGAGCTAATACTTTAGAAACTGATAAAAAGGAGGTTTGTGACCGGCCTCAATCAGCTGTCCGTTGGGCTCTGCGGTCACGCCCCCAGGTCTCTAAGATCGACACTAATCTTCCTTTCTTTTCAGGTTCCTCAAAAAACACCCTTCCACGTTTTGGGCAGCTGAGAAGTGACAACCGCCCTCATAGCCGTAACAACACGCGAGACCAAATCGGTCACAAACAAACAAACTGAAGAGAATCAAACCTATTCTGATTTTGGTTGCACTAAAAATCTTTCACTTTGTTTCTTTTGTACTACTTAAATTTGTGTCAATTGAATATTCTTTAAAGAAGTAGCAGCTTACAATAGGTTAGGCATTAATACAAATACATCATTATTTCTATTGTTAATAATCTATTCGAGTGAAACATTGATAAATGATACCATTTTTGTTATTTTCCATTTAATTTCAGTTGTGTTAAGTTTTTTTTTCTCATTAATCTATCAAAAAAAACAATGATTTCTTTTTGGTTTTGGTTGTGAAATTTTGAAGAGAAAACTTATTGAATCGACAAACACTTAGGATAAAGCATCTATCATACTACTTAAGTTTTATCTATTCATTTTCTGTATACAATTTAAACTAAGCGAAAAATAGATGATGAATATAAGATTGTTCCAATTAATTTTTATCATCAACATTCTATTGAAAGTGATTTAAATGAGATTAGTTTAATGAATAAATATGATACAAGTTGAATCTTTCCTAATCATGACCTTAGATGTTTCCATATTAATAAGGCCAACATGAATATTATTATTATTATTATTATTATTTTTCGTCAATCATATACAATGTGTAGTACTAGAATACTTTTACAATATTATTGTAGAAAATATAAAATCCTGAGAAAATCTATTAAAACAATTGATCTATTCATTACAATAATGAAATAATTGGTTTAGACGTGATTTAAAATTTAAAAAAAAAACACATCACTAATCTCATCGTCATCATCATCATCATTATTATTAGTGATAGAGTTGTTATTGATGAAATTCAATCAATCATAAATTGATTTAAGGAAAAATATCGAATTCATGGAAATCAGGTAGTAAAATGGCGCTGCTCAATCAAAAAAACATTGGCAATAATAATAATAATAATAATAATAGTAATAATAATAATAGAATTTTTATAATTTTAAAAAAAATTGCATTTTTTCTTCTAAAGTAGTCAGTATATTAAATAGTATGATTGCAAAGAATACAGATTGTCAAAAGGTTAATAGAATATACTATACAATTGCAAAAAAATTATACATATACATATCTATATGTTGACTAAAAAATGGCACTCAAAAAGATTGAATATTACATCACTTGGACAACCATTTATGATCAGAAAGTACTAACTATCCACTATGTCTTAATCTTGATCCAGTAACTCTATTCCTGCGGAAAGCTCACAGTGATCTGGTCGAAATAAAGTAAATGATGAGGACAATGGGAGTTCAACTGGATGTACAAAATACCAGCTTAGGTGACAGGACGAATGCGAATTGTTGAGGAGTTTCAGACTAGGATGAAGCAGATGTATACTGCTCCTTAGTTTTTAATTTGAGGACTAGTTAGTTAGTTAGTTCATAAGGGAAACTATTTTCTAAATCAAACTACTCAACACAACCGCCACCACCACCACTAAACTAAGCTTTACTTGCATCAATTACACTTCAAAACATCAGAATAGCAAAAACTTATTAGATTCAGATAGAAAAGATGAAGCTTTGAACAATATTACAAGGATAGTCAGACATTTTCGATACTTTATTCAGTACATGATTACAAACACACCTAATAAGTTTTGTTTCTAAGTCAACATTTAGTAATTTGTAACGGAATCAGGTATACAGTGATTAGAACTCACAGTATCAGTACATTGCAGTACAGTATAGAATTCAACTGTAACAATTATATCTTAAAAATTGTTATAAGTTAATGAAAAACTGTTTCCTGCAATTTCTCCAACAACCTTACCTCATATATTTCATTTTCAATGATCTATATATATGTATTAATGATAATCTAACTTTTTAATGTTAATTTTCTCTATAACTATATCACATTGTAGTAAACACAATAATAACAACTGTCTTACTCATTGTCTAACAACACATAAGAAAATACAATGAATGATAATTTATTCAACATATATGAATAATTTATTTCGATATTTTTAAAAAAATAATCGGTACTATTATTAATACAATTATCGATTTTTAAAATATCATATTTGATACATAAATGATTTATTAGTTTTAAACTGTCTAAATTACTAAGTTTTGAATAGGTCTGATTTTTGAATGTTTTGTAGAAGATAAGAAAATATCGTAGAAGAAAAAAGAAAGGAATCTGTTTATAGACTTATAGATGACAAAAAAATTAGTTTGACTTTACTATATTTTATGTTTACAACGAATTCCCACAAGTTCATTAGGTCAACCAGTAAGGTATCCCCCTTTAGTAATAACAGTCA